GGCAAACTTTTTCTGTAAAGGGCTAAATAGTAAGTATTTTAGATGTTGTGGGCTATATATGTTGCAACTACTCAACTATTATTTTAGCTTGAAAGTAGCATAGATAACGCATAAATATTTGTATGGGCATTCAGTGTTCCAGTAAACTGTTATTTAGAAAAATGGCCAGATTTAGTTTCAGGGCTGTAGTTTGCTGACCCTTCCACTAGAAGATAAATAGCCTGTGTGGATTTCATTTGCATTTGTTAAAAAGTCAGCAAATAACCAAGTGATTACCATTTATAAAACACTATGATTTCGTTTAGAAAATACTTCTAGTGTTTAAAAAAGAAACTTTAAATGGGATAGTGGTGCACACCTGTAATTTCAGTGACTTGGGAGACTGAGGTAGGAAGATCAAAAGTTCAAGTCCAGCCTCAGCAATTTAGTAAGACCCTCAGCAACTTAGTGAGACACTGTCTCAAAATAAAAAGGGCTGGAAATGCAGCTCCATGGTAAAGCACCCCTGTGTTCAGTCCCCAGTACCCTCCCCTTCCCCCCCCAAAAAAAATGGTAAACTTTAGGCCAGACATGATGGCACATGCCTATAATCCCTGCTATATAAGAGAATGAGGTGGGAGAATCACAAGTTAAAGGCCAGCCTTAGCAACTTAGTAAGATAAAAAATAGAAATAAAACTTTTATTTTAGAAAATGGCTAGGGATGCAACTCAGAGGTAGAAACCTGGCATAGCATTTGTGAGGACCTGAGTTCAGTCCCCCTGTACTTCAAATCAGTCAGTTAATAAGCTTCAGCTCTCTGGAAAATTCCATCATGCTTGATATCATATAAGTGATTACTGAGTGAAGAGTCTGTTACATGTTAACTAAGATTCTTGAATTAAAGACCCAGCCTTTGAAAATACCAGGCTTTTGCCATATGGTTTTTAAAATGTAGCTGTGTAGTTTGTATAATGTTCAGAATGTTACCCTCTTAATGACATGTTTTTACAGGTCTGAAAAGGAACCACAGTTTAAGTTTATCTACTTCAACCATATGAATTTAGCAGAGAAAAGTACAATTCACATGAGGAAAACACCCAGTGTGTCGCTTACGTCTGTTCATCCGGATTTGATGAAGATTCTAGGTGACATCAACAGTGATTTTACTAGGTATTCCTGACAACTTCTCAAATAGGTATCCCTTTGTTAAAGGATATTAAAGGAGTCATCTTCAAAACTGAGTAGCCCAAAGCCCCTTCATAGAGGCCAGGTCTGACCACCTTTATGGGCACCCCTTCTGAATGGGTCCATAAGCCCTGTCCATTCACATGGGCCTTCCTGAACTTCTTAAGTGACTATTTAGTATCCAGTGTCTTGTTTTGAAATGCTTTTTTTTCCCACAGTGTAGCTAAGTGTATAATAAAATAGTACATTCTGAAACTCTTGCCTTACAGAGCAGATGAAGATGAAGAAATCATCGTGAAAGCCATGAGTGATTATTGGGTTGTTGGGAAAAAGTCTGATCAGCGGGAGCTGTATGTTATTTTGAATCAAAAAAATGCAAACCTGATCGAAGTCAATGGTAAATTGAATTTGGTATTTGACCGTAATTTTAATGCTACTGATATTTGGAAATTCTCTTCAATGTATTAGGAAACATGGTATATAGAGCAAATGATGATCATTAAGATTTTAGGCAGATTTCTCCATTTTATGTTTCTGTGTCCTGTGACAAGCAAGCTTAATCGAGACTAAAAGGAAATTATTTTCTACAGTGCTAAAATAACCCATGGCTTTATGTATTGTGTGTAAAAATGTCTCTTTTTATCAAAAAGATGAAAACACATCTTTTATATGCAGAGCTGCTGGATTCATATGATAGTCCCAGCTGTCTCCACCCATAGGCAGGATGAGAATTCTCCACCTTGCAACCAGAGTTGTCGGTCTGGTCCTTTGTGCTGAATGAGTCAGTGGGGTTCTGACAGCTGCTGTCCTGGGGAAAGGGCAGTGTCCCCTTCACTAGCCTCTCTGCTACTCTGCCTTACACCTGGAGCTGGGGCAAGCAGCAGTGCAGGTGGGGGGAAACGCACCCCCAGTACAAACTACAAGGAAAGTTAGATGCAAGGTTTTTAAAAATATATCTTCTAAGGCCTGTGAAATTTTTCTTCTATACTAAAACCTGTATTCATTGTGTATTAAAAACATAGTACAAGCCTGACTTAAAATGGGAATTCAGTAAAGATCATGATACCTCTATGGAGCCCTTGATCTACAATTCAAGGTTGCAACCAGAGTATTTGTGTTGTTGCATCAGATTCTGAAATTGACTGTATCTTGGATGTTGTAACCCCAACCTGTGGGTGTCTCAGGTACTATTTGCCCTGGGTTTAAGCTTTTTCAGGCCCAGAGAAGCAGGATTTCAGTATGTTGGGAAGTATTGAGGTCTCATGGGTTTGTTAGGTATGGAGTCTCTTCCCTTTTTCTTGGTTTATTACTTTTTGTTTGGGCTTCTGGAATTTAAAGTCAAAATTAATGCAGACATTTATTTATTCCCAGTTTTATTTCAGAAGAATTTAAGGCACTAACATGTAGCATACAACCTTTTAAGTAAGAACCCCTATTCCTTATGCACTGTTTTCTGTTCTTTTTTGCAGAAGAGGTAAAGAAACTTTGTGCCACGCAGTTCAACAACATCTTCTTCTTGGATTGACTGATAATGGCTCACGGAAAGCATCTTTTAAGAAACTCAGCAAACACTTTGTTTACCATTGCAAGTTATTGGTCATATTATTGACTGGATTAATGACAATAGTAAAGCAATACTTGCTTTGAAGAAACAAATTTCTACTCAGTCTGATGATCCCCTGAGGTTTTTAGATTTTAAATATTTATGCGGAATTACTTAAAGGTAGTTGGCTATATCTCTATCATTCCATTCTTTTGACATGTGAATATTTTACTGGAAAATAAGACTAATAAATTGTTAAAGTTTCTAAAATTCTGGTTTTGCGCTGAGGCACTCTTCTGTTGCTAGATGAAAGCATTACCAGTGGTTCCTGGGACGTGCCCTGGCGATTTAAAAGGTCATTTGATGCTTTCACAGCTATATTCCATTCCCTAGCTGTGAAACCCAAATAAGGATGTATTTGCCCAAAGTAATTGCTAGACTTGCCCTTTTTTTTTTTTTTTTGGTACTGAAGATTGAACCCAGGGGTGCTCTACCACTGAGCCACACCTCCAGTCCTTTTTATTGTTTGAGACAGGGTCTCACTAAGTTACTTAGGCCATCACTAAGTCTCTGAGGCTGGCCTTGAATTTATAATCCTCTTGCCTCAGCTTCTTGAGCCACTAGGATTACAGCATGCACCACACACCTGGCTAGACTTGGCTTTTATCCTGAGTACTATTGTGATTTTTTAGACTCATTTAATACAGAGAGCTTAATGAAAGTGCACAATGTGTTCTAAACAGAAAGCACTCCTCATTGTCATATGGAACTCCTGAGGAGCCATCCCAGGGAGCCACAATTCTGTCCTTGAATGAGATGAAATTCAGCAGTCTTAGTTATGCTGATTTTTATTATCTGGTCAGCCCAGGGTCTAGGTAAAAACTAGCTAAATGGTCCAAAAAACATGATATTTCACTAGTCCTAAAGTTTGCTTCCCATATTCCCTATCACTTAATGTGTATGAGCCTGTTAGGAGGAAATGGCTTTGTTGATTCACGGTACTTTCATTGTCACTTGGTCCTAAATAATTCACAATGTCCATTGTGATTTCCTCATCACCCTTGTGTTACTTCAGATTGTGGCTTTTGTGTTTATGGTGTGCTGTGTGCACACTGTGCAGTCATTTGCAGCTAGAATAGATGTGCTATACACATCATGTGGAATTGCTCTACTTCACAACCTAAAAAGTGGTCAGTGTGTCAAGTGTTAATTCTCTATTGCATTCTGGTTCCTAGCTCTGTGCTAATTCAGGGTTTATAGTTTAGTTGCTCTCGTCATCTGATCCCCATTTTCCTGCTTTCTGCTGTCAAGACGGCACTTCTCCCTGGGGCTCCCTCAGCTTTGCAAGGCTAATGTGTAGGTATGATGTTGCCTTTGGGTTGTGATAGTGCTTGCTAGTGCAGTTACCTTGAACAGATCAGCCTGGCGTATCTTTGTGTGTGTCTTTATTTTCATTCTTCCTGTGTGGCTCTAAGATAGTTCCCTTGTGAAGTGATGTTAAGGTGAATTTTTATTTTTCAGTGCCATTAAATTACCTCTGGGCTCGTTTGGGGGAGCAGTACGAGTGGGTTTAGTCTGTTTCCTTTGGCTGTTGGGGCATCCGCACTTTTCTGTTTCCCATCTTTCTGTTAAAATTGATGGTTTCCTGTATTCCTTTTGCTAATTTGGGTAGCTTTAAATTGGTGGTGACCCTTAAATTTTAACACAAATTATTAACTATAAAACTTTCAACAACCATCTATTGAACACCTGGCTCCTCCTCTCACTGCTGCCTGGACTCACTGCTGTGTGGTGGTTTTCAAATTCGATAGAGAACTGTGGGCATTTGCAGAAACGGGCCAGGGGAGAAGCCACAGGAAGTGGAACCTGAAGAACTCCAGGTGGTTTTGGGGATAGAGAATGTACCCAGTGTGGGAAACAAGAGTGTCTGAAGAAATTTTTTTTTTTTTTTTTTTTTTTTTTTTTTTTTTATATATAATGTAATTTGGCCAATATCATTCCCCAGAGACTTATTTTTTTTTTTTTAATTTTTTTAAGAGAGAGAGAGAGAATTTTTAATATTTATTTCTTAGTTTTCGGCGGACATAACATCTTTGTTTGTATGTGGTGCTGAGGATCGAACCCGGGCCGCACGCATGCTAGGCGAGCGCGCTACCGCTTGAGCCACATCCCCAGACCTGAAGAAATGTTTTGAATAATTTCTTCCATTCTCCACTGTCTTCTTTTTTTTTTAATTTTTAATATTTATTTTTTAGTTTTCAGGGGACACAACATCTTTGTTTGCATGTGGTGCTGAGGATCGAACCCAGACCGCACACATGCCAGGCGAGCGCGCTACCGCTTGAGCCACATCCCCAGCCACTCCTCACTGTCTTTTGATTCATTTTATCAGATTCTAACTTCATCATCATGGCATTACTTTTGATTTTTTAGACGTGTATTTAAAACATGTTCATTAATATGCGTGTGTGTGTTGGATATTCATTCAACTCAATTTCCAAAATGCAGGCCTTTCAGTGATCCAGCTGCAAAAAGCTGGGTGCAGTGGGTCAAGATAGGAGTGTTCCAGAACACCAAGAGCAGAAGTAAACTGCAAACAACTTTATTGTGCAGGACATTTATCATAGTTCCTGCTGTCCTGAGCTGCTCTGTGTCCTTGCAGTCTACCCTCAACATTTCGTGCCTTTACTTTCTCTTCTTCTTACTCAGGGTGGACTTGCTGGCCTGGGACACAGCTGTATCCTCTTTGGGAGGGCTTTGTGTGAGGACTGAGGACAGGGCGTCCCCTGGCTCCTTGATCACAGGGATGTCCATCTCAGTATCTTGTTTCTTGGCCTCTTCCTTCCTTAAGATATTCAGCCTAAAAAAGCAAACACAGGAAGGTAGATTTTTTTCCTTTGAATTTTATTTATTTATTTTGGTATTGGGGATTGAATTCAGGGGGCTTACCCACTGAGCCATATCCCCAACCCTTTTTTATATTTTACTTTGAGACAGGGTCTTGCTGAGTTGCTTAGGGCCTCACTAAGTTGTTGAGGCTGGCTTTGAACTTGCTATTCTCCTGCCTCAGCCTCCTGAGCCACTGGGATTACAGGCATGTGGCACCGTGCCCAATAGTTCTTATTCTGTGTATCAAGTAAAGTTGTCCATATCTGTATTTCAACAGTGCCTGTGACCAAAACTAAACTGCCATCACCTTGCCTGAGTTAGTAATAAGTAAAGCCATAGCTAGACAGCCCAGGTAGAATGCTGTCGATCTGACCTGAGGTGTCAACCTCTTTTTTCGGGGTGACCTTGTGACAGTCCTCATATGTTCCTGCCCTCTAGCATACAGCAATGCTTTCTCTAGTGAGCGGAGACACACATCACCAAGGGCAGGTGTCTGCACTGCTAAAGGACCATGCAGAGCTGAGCCTCAGCAGTGATACTGCGGTGAGTGCAGCATCCCGCCTTGCTTCCTGGACTCCTGGCCTTCAGCTGTCTTCCTGGCCCCAGCGGTCCTGTGAGGTATTACCATGACCCCACCTGACAGGCGAGGACAGGAGGCTTGGAGTTGTGCACAGAGCGGTGGGGGGGCTAGGGTGTGAACCATGGCTTCCTGTTGCCTCTCACACAGATGTCAGTTCCACTTAGACACCCCGGAAAACAAGCAGCTCACAGTGAGCCCCAAGCCCCCCAGACCAGGCGGGGACACCCCTTGACAATTCTGACACCACATTTTCTCTTCACCTCACCAACAGTCCAACACCACTGATATAAAATTCTTACACCATCTACTCACATTACCACAGACCTCACAAGTGACGGGAGTTCAGTCCCACGAGGCCACCCCCATCCAGATGCCAGTCACAAGTTCAGGACTCGGATACCTCTGACCAACCAGCTATGAATCAGAAGTGCCCACAACGCCCCCTTCAGGTTCTATAATATGCTAGAATAGCTCACAGCCTCTAGCAAAAAACTTTGCTTACATTTACTGGTTTACTTTAAGAGATACTACAAAGAATAAAAATGAACAGCAGCGAGCAGTGGTGCTCGACTGTAATTCCAACTACCAAAGGCTGAGGCGAGAGGATCACAAATTCTAGGCCCACTTGGGTAACTAAGTGAGACCTTGTCTCAAAAAATAGAAAAGGGCTAGGGGTGTAGCTCCATGGGAGAGTACACCTGGGTTCAATCCCCAGGACTACAAAAGGAATAAAAATGAACAGCCGAACAGCCAGATGAAGAGGGATGTACGGTCAAGTCCAGAAGAGTCCCCTGAGCACAAGAACTTCTGTCCCTGCAGACTTACCTTCCCATCACATGGATATGTTCAGTCCCAGAAACTAAATCCCACCCATGATTTAGTGTTTCTGTAGAGGTTCCATTATGTAGGCATGACTAACAGAACTCAGTCCCCAGCCTCCCCACCTGCCTAGAGACAAGGGCGAAGCTGGAAGTTCTCCAGTCACAGGTGGTTCCTTGGGCAACAAAGTTATCCAGGGCCCCAGCCACAGTCATCTCATTAATATATAAAAACATGCCTCCAGAGATGCCAGGATCTGGTAGGTCCTGGGGTCAGGAGCAGATGCTAGCCCCTCTATATAAACAAAAGATGCTCCCAGCCCTCTGGAAGAACCGGCAGGAGCAGAGGCCAGATATTTTTTTTATGCTCTGGACAACCTTGGGACGTTGTGTACTTGGCAGTGCAAGCATGTGTTCCCGATGCTCCTGGTAGCTACAAAGGATGGGGAAGAAAGCGGAGTTCATGCCAGAGGAGGGCCGGGGCCCTGCCATACCTTGCTTCTAGCTCTTCACTTTCCATCTTCTTCTGTTGAGCCATGGCTGCATCCCGCAACCGGTTTTCCTTTACTTTTTCCTTGAGCAGCTCCTCGTGCTTGTACGCCTGGAAGAGCGTATTCACAAAGAAGATGTACATGTTATTGACCCACGTGTTGAGCTTCTCCTTCTGGTCATTCTTGGGTTTTTCATTTTTCTCTGGAATAAAGTTTAATTAAAATGAGCGTTAATACAATCCTGCAGCCTGGAGTCTCTTACTCTAATTCTGCCCTTTCCTGTGATGGCCTCTGTGTCCCCATCCTGTCAGAGGGGGCGAGGAAACTGCAGAATGCTTCAGTGACCACCTGAGACAAAGCAAGTTCTCTGCAGACCCTGGCTGCTTGTCAGCACTGCCTTTGAACCTCCTGGTACCTGTTGTTTTCTCCTCAATAGTTGATGTTTTCCATGTTTTGGTGGGGAACCCTCCTGGCTCTTGCTTACGTTGTCTTCAGAGAGATTTAAATCTCTGTTGAATAACAAAGGTAAGGAGACTCTTGTCTTGAGTTCTCGCTACTCCACTATGGAGAATGGGGATGGGCAGTGGTGTTGGAACAGGTGCTGTGGAAGGGAGTGTGACCAGTCCACTCCACCAACCAGCCTCCCAGTCCAGGAGCCTCTATGGTATGCTCCAAGTACAAGGACATCAGGAAGATTCATGATCCCAGTGCCAGATTTTAGAGACTAATGGAGACCTGTGTGTGCTTCCCACATGAACCCCAGGCTGGAGAACACATAACCTGCGGCAGGCCTCGGGCTTGGGTAAGAGTTGTGCATGGAGGAATGAGGTAGGAAGTCAAGAAAACAAGCCCTAACCTGTCAAGGTTCTTGCTTCTTCTGAAGCAGCACTGTGTAGCACAGACTAGGGCCACGTGAGTTAGGCTCAAGGCCCCTCTGTGCCACATACTCGCTGCACAACCTTGGCCAGTTAATACTCTCTGTGCCAGTTTCCTCATCTGCAAAAGGGGCACCGTACTGGTACCTGCCTCACAGGTATTGTGAAAATCCGATGCATTAGCTTGCAAGCTGAGCACCACACACACAGGAAGTACATGGTAATGCCTGTCATGGGCATTACCCATGGACCCAAAGGACCAGTGTTATAACCCGAGGGAGCAGGTAGGATGGAATGGACTGATAGATTTGCAGGAAATTTAATTCTTTTATAAAAGATAGTTCATTGAGTAAAATTCTTAACTATTGATGTCAAGCTTGCTCATTGCAGAAAATACTAGATTTGTTAAAAAAACGTATACTGGGCACCATTTATATAGCAGACCCTGTTCCAAGAGCTGTAAGAAACAACAAAAATATGTACCTCTAGCATAACCAAAACATGAACCCATTTTGTCCCATGGTCCTAGATGTGGAACACCTATAAAAACCTTAGTATACAATATGTAATTATATAGTTACAAAAGAACATAACAGGCTGGGCACCATGGCGCATGCCTGTATGTAATCCCAGCAGCTCGGGAAGCTGAGGCAGGAGGACCTCAAGTTCAAAGCGAGGTGCTAAACAACTCAGTGAGGCCCTGTTTCTAAATAAAATACAAAATAGGGTTGGGGATGTGGCTCAGCGGTCAAGTGCCCCTGAGTTCAATCCCTAGTATCCCCCCACCAAAAAAAGTCTAGCAGTAGGAATATAATACATGTATATAGTGGTATATAGTAGGAATATATGTGGACATGATTATAATTTCAATATATATATACACATAATCTCTAGATTATGATTTCTGACCGATTTTAATGCACTTGTGTTAATTTCATTGAAATATTCACAGAATTGAAAACCTGGGAATTAATTAATGGGCTAATGACATTCTAGTGTACATCCTACTAGTAGTTATCAGAGAAGATAGATAACAAATATGGGGTCATGTGTCCTGTTTTTCTGTCAACACTGTATTCTGTAAGAGTTTTAATGGCTGTAAATCATTGTGATGTGCATGGAAACCACGGGAGCCAAGGGCTTTTCCATTTTCTGAGCAATGCTGCAGTGAACACCCTCATCCACACAGCTTTGCCCACACCTCTGAACATTCCCGTGGTAAATCCCCAGAAGCAGAGTTGCTGGGTGAAACAGAATGCTCGCATTTTAACCTTTGGTGCATGTTTCCAGACTGCCTTTTAGAAAGATTGAGCCATTTTATCATCCACCCCACTTTCAGTGCATGAAACTATTTTTCCCTTACATCACTGCCATAAGCACCATTTATTTTTGATAGCACTTTATTGTTTTAATTTGCATTTTCTTAATATCAGTGAAGTTCTTTTTATGTTTAGGGGTCACTTATGTTTTTGAAGAGTGGCTTTTTCCTATTTTTTTCTTATTTTAAGGATATTCCCTTAATGTTTTCTCTTTGATTTTTCATTGTGTTCTTGGCTTCTTTTGCCAAAAACTGATTTTGATTTCTATCAGTATTTTCTCTGTATTTTACCTTAGTTTTTATACGTAAGCCTTTATCAACACTAAGAATATAACATACACTTTTACATGCTCTCAATTCTATGGTTCCAGTCTTTACATTTACCTTTTAATCCACCCAAATATTTCCCCTAAATTTAGCCAACTGCAGCTGCATTTATTAGATAGTCCATTTTTCCCCTACCAAGGAGGGATAGCTACTATGTACTGAATGCCCATCTGTGTTTATAATAATCAGCCTATTTTTTTTTTTTGCAGAACCAGTTTACTTACTGAGGCTTTACATTTTTAGTATATTTTAATAAATAGAACTAAAATTATCCTCTTGATTTTCTTTTTAATATACTTGTCTGTTTCTGACCATTATTTTTCCAGGATTATTTTTCAAATTTGTAAGACTATTGGGATTAGAATTAGCTGGAATTGCAGTTAAGTCTCTAAGTTATTTTGGGGAGAATCTACATTGCTACAATACCAAGTCTGGGGCTGGGGATGTGGCTCAAGCGGTAGCGCGCTCGCCTGGCATGTGTGCGGCCCGGGTTCGATCCTCAGCACCACATACAAACAAAGATGTTATGTCCGCCTTTAACTAAAAATAAATTTAAAAAATTTAAAAAAAAATAAAAAAAAAAACAATACCAAGTCTTACCAGGTAGGTAATGTTTCCATTTATTCAAGATTTTTATAAGGTCTGTAAAGTTCAGTACTTTGGGGTACTAAAATTGTAAATTGACAAATTTTAATATATATACTTATGAGATATAAATATACAATGTAGAATGCTTAATCAAACTAATTAACATACCTATCACCTCAAACATACACATTCATGGTAAGAACATTTGAAGTTTACTCACAGAAATTTTGAAATATATTATTAACTATAGTCACTACTCCCAATCCTTGATAATCACCATTCTACTCTCAGCTTCTGAGTTCAGTTGTCCTAGGTTGTGAGATCATTCACCATTTGGCTTTCTGTGCCTTGCCTATTTCATTTAGCACAACATCCTCCAGGTTCATCCATATTGTCACCAATGACAGAATTTATTTTTAAGGCTGAATAGTATTCCATGTGTATATCTTTTTTTACTTATCTACTCATCCATTGATGGACATGTAGGTTGATTCCATATCTTGACTTTTGTGAACAGTGCTGTGATGGACATGGAAATGCATGTCTCTTCCAACATCATCATTTCAAATCCTTTATCTATATAGCTCAAGGTGGTATTGTTATGGTTTGAATCTGGAATGTCTCCCAAAGGCTCAATGTGTTGAAGGTTCAGTCCCCAGTGGGCAATGTTCAAAGGTGGCTCATCAATGGGTTAATCCATTGAAGGATTTCTAACTGAGTGGACAAATGGGAATTAGTGGAAATTGTAGGAGGTGGGGCCTGGTTGGAGGGAGTGGGTCCTTAGGGACTATATCTTTGTCCCCCACCCCTTCTTCTTCCCAGCTGTCATGAAGTAGCCAGAATTCCTGCACCAAGCCTTTCTGCCATGATGTTCTGCCTCACCTCAAGCTTAAGCAATGGAGCCAGCCACCCACGGACCAGAGCCTCTGAAACCATGAGCCGAAGCAAATCTTTCCTTTTGTTGTTATTCTCAGGTATTTTGTCAAGTGATCAAAAGCTAACACAATGTTAATTCTTTTAGTTTTATTTTTTTTTTTTAGTTGTAGATGGCCACAATACCTTTATTTTATCTTATTTATGTGGTGCTGAGAATCAAACCCAGTGCCTCACAGAAGCTAGGCAAGCGCTCTACCACTGAGTTACACCCCAACCCCTACTTTCAGCTTTTTGAGGAACCTCTATACAGTCTTCTGCAATGGCTAGACATTCCCACCAACAGTGTACAGAGGCCCCCCTTTTCCTCCACATCCTCACCAACACTTACTTTCATCTTTTTGGTAATAGCCAGTCAGTCTGACAGATGTGAGGTGATATCTTATTGTAGTTTAGTTCGCATGATTAGTGATGTTGAACATTTTTTTTCATGTTGGTCATTTGCATGTCATCGTTGGAGAAATGTCTATTCTAGTACTTTGCCCATCTTTAAGTCACAGTATTTTCTTACTCTTGAGTTCCTCAGGTATATTCTGGGTGTTATATATCTGGGTGTTACCCAGTTCTGAGATGTCCTGCTTGCAAATATTTTCTCCCAATCCATAGTTTGTAGCTTTGCTTTGCTCATTGTTTCCTCTGCTGTGCATAAACTTCTCGGCTTGGTGTAATCCATTCGTCTATTTTTGGCTTTGCTATTTTTTTAATATATATTTCACAAATTCTTTTTGTTTATTCCTAGATACTTTATAGTTTGTTATCATCAACTGAAACTTCTTTTCCTCTTCATAGTTTTTCTTTCTCCATATTTTCTGATTTTGCCGGGGGTGGGAATACCAGGGATTGAACTCGGGAGCCCTCGACCACTGAGCCACATCCCCAGTGACAGTTTTCATCTCTTTTGCAGGCTTCTTTCATTTAGAGACAGTTGCTTAGCACTTCAGTTTTGCTGAGGCTGACTTTGAACTTGTGATCCTCCTGCCACAGCATCCCAAGTAGCTGGGATTACAGGTACAGTCACTCTTAATATTTCAAGTGGCTTTCCAGTTGATGTTATGTATTTATTCATTAATACTTAGCAAGTTTTTATTGAATCCCTAGAAGCACACTTAGCATTGCTAGGCTGTGGGAATGCAGCAGTGATTGACAGCACTCCACTCTCAGAGGGCAGGACATTTCCATTCCAGGAGCAAGGAGAGGACTGAGGGACAGATGTTTCAGGCACTGACACTGCAAAGATGAGACTAAGGCAGAGGAAGGAAGCAGGATGGCCGGGGACACCTGCCCTAATGAAGTGGAGCATTCCAGGTGCCCCGCAGTCCTTAGTGCAGCGTTTGCTACCATCCTTTGCTCATGTCCTCTGATGTCCAGAGGAGGGGCTTGCAAGAGCAATAGTACTGGAATTCTTGAGTCAACTCCATCTGAAGACTAAAGTAAAATCCCAAGCTCATTTTCTCTCTGCTAGGAACTTAAGAAAAACATTTTTTTGGTATTTAAAACAAACTTTCCCTTTCTATTTCTCTTAAGGCAGTCTGATCTTGTTTATGTCTCACTTGCTCCCTTTGCCAGATGTCCTTGGGTTTGCTAATTTGCCTTCCTCTCTGTCTGTCTCTCTCCCTTTCCTGCCCTCCCCACAAGGACTTTTTAGTTGTCCTGGGTCAGGTTTACAGATGTCCTTTGAACATATCAGTCCTGTCTTTTCATTTTGAGAAAATGTTCAGGAAGTATCAATTTTCATATTTAATCTATTGATTTTGTGTTCTTATAGGGAGTCCTGTGACACTAGGACTTATTTGCCTACTTTTTAAATCTGTTTTCTTGAAGTCTTTTAGAATTCTCCCTTTCCCTTTCTATTTATCTTAAGGAAGTCTCTCTTTTTGTTTACTTTTTTCCTTCTAGTTTGGTCTTTTAAGAATGTTTTTCTTTTATTTCTAAATTCTTTCTTGAGCTGTTTTCTCATCTGAGGTTTTCTAATTCTGATTAATTATCCTGTCATCTCTTCTATCACATTCTCAATTTATTTGGGCTCATGTTACAATATTTGTGACAGTTTTCATCTCTTTTGCAGGCTTCTTTCAGGCTTTGGTTCTCCGTGGCAGTATTCTGCTTCTTATTCTTTTTTTCTTGTAATAATTTCATTTTAGACAAGACCATACCCTATTCTTTTCTACAGAAAAGTAGGTATCTGGGGCTGGGGTTGTGGCTCAGTGGTAGACGCTTGCCTAGCATGTGTGAAGTCTTGGGTTCAATTCTCAGCACCACATACAAATAAATCAAAAATAAAGATCCATCAACAGCTAAAATACATACACAGAGAGAGAGAGAGAAAGAGAGAGAGAGACACACACTGACACACATATATTTTAAAAAGACTATCCTCTCTTGTGGATTTTTTTTTTTTTTTTTTTTTTAAGAAAGAAAAGTAGGTATCTGAACTTTAGGGCTTAGGTGGATGACGCACAACAGTTTTTCTAGCCTCAGGATTCTAGAACTCCCCCTTCTGTTCTTTCAGTGACTTCCCAATTCCTTTTCATTGGATCCTTCTTTGCCCTTCTGCTCCAGGCTTCTCAGTGTGAGTTCTACCCAGCACTGTCTCCTCGGGCCTAGGTTTTCCTGAAGGGAGTTTGGGTGGTGAGTTCCTGGGGCTCCGCAGCCCTCATCTGAGCCCTGGAGCTCCCTGGTCCCCTGGAGCATACACATGCTCTCCCCCAGGCAGCTCTGCCAGGCTTGCAGAGTTCCTGCTGGGAGATCTGGATCCTCACATTCTCAGGTCTGGAAGATGCTCTGATTGCTTCTGTGTCTTATATCTGTTCTTTTCCTCTTGCGTCCATTTTTGCATTCTGAGGTCACTCAAGTTATGTAGCTAGTGATTTATCCCTTTCTACTCAAATTTTGACTTTCATGTTAACACCTTATCACAAAATAAGATTCTACTATAGTTTATGCTCTTTTGGTTTTGCATTCTAATTGTGCTTGCTTCATGTGGGGATCTAGAAATATGGAAAAAAAAAACACCCACGTGCCACCCTCATCTTCCCAGAATCCCCACTCTAAGTGGTTTTCATGTTACCCTTTTTCCCTGTTGAGAACAATGGTTACTATTTTCATTTTTTAATCTTCATTGAGTTTTTATAACTTGATTATGCTAATTTTTAAAAATATATTTTTTAGATGTTGATGGACCTTTATTTTATTCATTTATTTATATGCGGTGCTGAGAATCAAACCCAGTGCTTCACACATGCAAGGCAAGTGCTTTACCCCTGAGCCACAATCCCAGCCCTGATTATGCTAATTTTGTTAAATGACCTGGAAGGCTTATTTTATGCTGTTATGTTTTGATTTTTTTAAAAAAGATCTAAGACTAATTCTTATTGTTTCCTTAAATTTTGAATGAACTTGCTCATAAAAGTTTTGACAGTTTTTCCTCATGATTCAGGTTTTCTCCATTTCTTGTGTCTACTTTTGTTAACATCTTCCTATAAAATAATTTCTGGGTATTAGCTTGGAGTTGAACATAGGACTCTTTTACCATAAAGCCTTACTTGTGACTATCTACTTTCTCCTTCCTACTTAGTGCAGTTTGTGAAGCCCTAATCTGAAAATCTGAAATCCAAAATGCTCCAAAATCTAGAACTTTCCAAGTGCTGACCCCACAAGTAGAAAATTCATACCTGACCTTACGACGCATTGTCAAACACAGATGCACTAAAAATATTGTATAAAGTGACATTCAGGCATCTGTATAAGGTGTATGTGAAACATAAATGAGTTTCATGTTTAGACCTGTGTCTCTCCCAGAGATATCTCACTATGTACGTGCAGATATTCCAAAATCCAGCAAATCCAAGATCTGAAACCCATGGTCGTCATCACTTCAACTAAAGGAGCCTCAGCCTCTACATGCATTTTATCACCTCTGTTCAGACCACAAAGCTCAGGTTGTCTTATTTACCTTTTACTTGAAGGACAGGCATGTAGAATTCTAGGCCTACTACTTTTCTTTTGTTTCTAGTCTGTAATCTGTGAGTGTATCCTTTAGTACTAGGGATTGAACCCAGCAGCACTTGACTACTGAGCCACATCCACAATGCGAGACAGGGTCTCACTAAGTTGCTTAGGGCCTCACTAAGTTGCTGAGGCTGGCTTTAACTCATGATCCTCCTGCCTCAACCTCCCGAGCTGATGGGATTACAGGCATGTCCACCATGCTCAGCCTGTGAGTGTGTCTTGCCACTGCCTTCTTCCTGCTCTCTTAGTGTTTCACTATTTCTCCTTTCTGCTTTTTGGGGCTGAGTGTTTAGGTTATTGTTTTCTCGGTAAACTTAATACCGGTTTTTTCTGGTTGTAGTTTTGGCCATGTCCTATAGGTAATGTCTAAATTATTTTAATCTCCTAAGTGTTCTTAGAAATGCAATTTGAGGGTCAGGTGCGGTGGCGCACACCTGTAATACTAGTGGCTTGGGAGGCTGAGGCAGGAGGATCACAGGTTCAAAAGCCAGCCTCAGCAATTTAGTGAGACACTGTCTCTAAATAAAATATAAAAAAGGGGTAGGGATGTGGCTCAATGGTTAAGCACACCTGGGTTCTATTGCAGTACCAAAAAAAAAAATGCAATTTGATTTTCTTTTTTTTAATATTTTTTAGTTGTTGATGGACCTTTATTTTATTTATTTGTATGTGGTGCTGAGAATCGAACCCAGTACCTCATGCATGTTAGGCAAGCGTGTTACCACTGAGCCACAACCCCAGTCCCACAATTTGATTTTCTTTATAAATTATTTAAAATAATGGTGGATTTTTTAATAATTTTTAATTGTTGATGGACATTTATTTTGTTTACTTATTTATATGTGGTGCTGAGAATCAAACCCAGTGCCTCACACATGCCAGGCAAGTGCTCTACCCCTGAGCCACAACCCCAGCCCCTTTGGTGGATTTTGTTCTTTGATTTTTTGCCTTAAATTTTCAAGTGGTTAGATGATATTTTACATTTAAAGTCAACATACCTGGTCCTTTACTAAGAGCATCATCTTCTTCATCAATGTGTGGCAATCCATTATCTTCTTTGACATCTATCACTGCTTCTATATGTATTCCAGGCCCTGCATTTATATCAGACATCACATTTTGGGCTACAATTTAATAAGTTTTATGTTTGTGGAATTATTTTATGGTTCATGAATCACTTGATATCTTTTGCCAAAATAAATGGGATTTTTCTTTCTTTTCTTCTTTAGGGATTGAACCTGGGGTGCTTAACTACTGAGCCACATACCCAGCCCCCCCCCCCACTTTTTTTTGGAGACAGGATCTCACTAATTTGCTGAGGCTGTCTTTGAACTTGTGATCCTCCTCCTTCAGCCTCCTGGGCCACTGGCATGCACCAGTGCCCCCAGCTAAACAGCACTTTTCAAATTATTCACCTTGAAATTAAAGCCTTCCAGACTAGCTTTGTCAATCATTGTTATGTCCTTAGATGTGTTAGGCACATAAGAAGATCAGAGAACCCAAAACACAACCCTCTGGGCCTTCACGAGATGACTGGGACCACACAGGCATGGTGGAGTCACAAGAAGAACTTTTGGTGCCACCCTTCAGCCTCAGAGAGGCTACAGTTAAACTATTTAGATATCTGGGACAAAGTATTTGATAACATCTGTCTGTAATCTGCTTAGTCTGAAGCACCATTAAGACAAGAGAGGTATGTGCCTCAGGAAATTCTCTCTTCTAGAGAACTATGATTATTCTCAAAAGAGTAACTCAAAAGAGATATCCCACTTTCTACCCTTCTTGTCTAGGCTAATTGGTGTAATTCCTAATTTCCCCATCCTTTTAAGTGATGTTGATTTTTTAATCACTTGGCAGATTTTAAAATCAGAAAATCATATTATTGTATGCAGTCCAGGTCAGAACAAGACTGGATATGAAGGAAGATAATTCTTATGTTCGTTGTCATAGACACCTCCTAGCTGAAGGACAGTAAGTCACAGCCACCTGCATGCAAAAATCAGATGAAATGGGACTTTGAGAAAAGATGCCACATGGGCCAAGGGAAAAGCCTTGACAGCTGACAAAGTAGTAGCCATCGGCACAGTGGCTAGCAAACAGTAGGTGCTCAATCATTGCTAAAGGAACAACCAGAAAGATCCAGGGCAAGATCAAGGTATAGCTAGAACTAAAGATGAATCACCAGCTAATAACATCATTGGTGAAATACAGTAACTGGGGTTTCCTTTGTAGTTGTGTTGCTTTCATAGGAACTGTACGTCTTGAGGATGGCTTTAGGGACAGTCATGAGACTGGCTCTCTGCTAGGATGCTGATCACCATAGGAGAAAAACTGCACAGCCTTGCAGATTAGCCCCAGAGGAGAGGAAAACATAGAGTGAGGGTTGCGGAAGGAAGCCAGGGGAAGAGGGTTTCCTGAGAAAGCAGTTCACAGGAGGGCAGGGTTATGGGGCAACAGCGCAAAGTCACTGGTGAGGAAGGGGAGCGTTGGGTGTAGGGATGAGCCACGGGAGACACAGGCAGGCAAGCAGAGAAGCTGGGTGCAGCCTTTCCTCAGCAAAGGGATCAGAGAAAGCGAGAGACTGTGGAGGGCAGGCTGGATGACTGTGATCTCCTTCTCTACACGCTGCAGCGGGTGCTGAGCACGACCAGCTAGAGAGGGAGCGAGTGCCAGGAAGAGACAGTCCCTGCACAACAGATGCTCCAGGAGGAGGCAGCCCAGGACAGAGCCTTGAAGAAGTCACCATTTGGTGGGTAGCTGACCACAGGAACCTAGGCCAGAGCCACTGAAAGCACCTGTGAGATGAGACAGAAAGTCCCCACCAACTGTGCTAAGATCCAGGCCCTGAGGGGTCCTAGTGAGGACAGGGATGAAGTTGGAAGCGATGGGCAGGAAGTGAGGAAGCGTAGTCAGCAGGGGGACAGCCCAGAGGTGCTTCCCTAGGGAAACCAGAAAGGAGGCCAGTGAGAGCAGGCTGGCACACAGACCAGGCCTCAAAAAAACAGGGAGGATGAGACTCTTGAGTAATAACAGGTGACTGGGGATATAGCCCAGGCAGGGCCCAGGTGAGGCAATCCAGCTGTTTAGTCCTGGTCCTGCCTGGAGAGGGAATGCCCATGGCCCTCGTAAGAGGGCTGGGAGCGGCTTACCAGCCTCCTTATATAAGAGAGAAACTTGTAAAGTTTAGCAGACTGGATGTAACTGATTAGCAGCATTTTATAAGTGTGAAAAGTTCTCCAGTTAAGGGCTGCGGGTGTGGCTCAGTGATGGAGTGCTTGCCTCACACATGTGAGGCCCTGGGTTCGATCCTCAGCACCACATAAAAATAAATAAACAAAATAAAGATATTGTGTCCATCAATAACTACAAAAAAATTTTTTTTAAGTTCTCCAGTTAAAATACTCACCATTCTGGGATAAGAAGGCCAGCCCTTTTCCTGAAGGTTTAAAATTCATTTTGGAACATTTGACATCACTTAGAGACTTCTTGATCTTGGGCTTTTCCATTAAAACAACAACAACAACAACAAAGTGAAATATTACTTCTGCATCATCATGGACTATAAAACTAGTTTTCTACATCATAAGTAATTAGAAAATTCCTAATAGGGCCATTCTCAGCTAAATTTGACCTTTTTTGGAGGGTGGGGATACCAGGGACTGAATGCAGGGGCACTCAACCAGTGAGCCCCATCCCTAGCTCTATTTTATATTTTATTTAGAGACAGGGTCTCACTGAGTTGCTTAGCTCCTCACTTTTGCTGAGGCTGGCTTTGAATTTGCAATCCTCCTGCCTCAGCCTCATCAGTGTGACCTTGGCATCACTTAGACCTCATCAGTATGAAGAAGGGTTGTGGTGACAGATGCACATTCTGGGGACAGGCTGCACAGTACAAACCCAGCTCCACCATTCACTGGTTACGAGATCATGGACATAATCTTTCAGTGCCACAGTCCTCTCCTGGAGATAAGACGACCTTTAAGGTCATTTGGGGCATTAAGTGAGCTGACACCTGGGAAGTGCTTGGCATCTGGTAAGGCCCCCATAAGCATGAGCTGCTGCCATTTGCTTGCTAGAATCTCCCTTTCCTCATCAGCAGGTGAGTGCTTGTGAGACAGGCGTTCTGTCCACTGCTGGCCACAGCTGTGTCAATGTGGCATGGTGGGCTGTAAATACAAACCTCTGATTTCCTTATTCTCATATCAGGGAAGAATCCTAACTTGCTTGAAGATGACTTGGTGTTGCTAAAGGTAACGACATCAGACTCGTGGCTCGTGACTACACTTGGACTCCTGTTGTGGATGCTCTAAGCAAGGACAAGCACAGAGGGTTTCCAGCTTCCAGGGAGATGCGTGCACACACGTTCACATGTGTTTTTCTAACAAGGTATAACTGGGTTCCCTCCCCTACTAGGCAACCACTGTTTTGCTTTCCATCACTACACATTGCTTTGTACTTTACAGAATTTTATATAATAGTCATCACACAGTGTCCATCCTTTTTGCCTGGATTCTTTCACCCAGCATAAATTATTTTGAGATTCATCTGTGTTGTTATTTTCTCACTGAGTCATGCCCCACTGGTCTGGATATAAAAATGTCTTTAGCTAGGTGGGCGATCTGAAGATTTTTGACTATTGAACTTGTTTTATGGCTACCTATTAGGTGTGAGGCAGTATCTTACTGTGGTTTTGACTGGGATTTCACTAATGATTAGCAATGTTGATCATCTTTTCATGTGTTTATTGGCTTTTTTTTTTTTTTTTTTGGTAGCAAGGATTGAAGCCAGGGATGCTTAACCACTAAGCCACATCCCCAGCCTTTTTAAATTTTATTTTATTTATTTTTTTGTTTTTGAGACAGGACCTTGTTAAGTTGCTAAGGCTGGCTTTGAACTTGCAATCCTCCTGCCTTAGTTTCCTGAGCCACTGGGATTACAGGTGTGCACCACTCACCTGGCTATTTGTATACCTTCTGTGGAGAAATGCATATTCAAGTTCTCTGCCAATTTTTTTTAACTGGGTGGGTTTTGTTGCTGTTGTTGTTTTTGCTATCGAGTTTTAGAAGTTTTCTGTATATTTCATATGTGTTGTAACCTTTTTTTTTAAGTTGTAGATGGACACAATACCTTTATTTTATTTATTTATTTTTATGTGGTGCTGAGGATCAAACCCAGTGCCTCACACATGCTAGGCAAGTGCTCCATCCCTGAACCACAACCCCAGCCCCTGTGTTGTAACCTCTTAGAGGATATGTGGCTTGTAAATACTGTCATCCCTTACCCATAGGCTAATAATGTCTGATGCACAGAATTTTTCAATGTACACAGTTTATAGGTTTTTATTTTTTAAGCAATCTAATAGTAGTGACCTTTGATACACCATCTTGTCCTTTCATTTCATTCTGCATTTATGATTTCTTGCAGAGTAGGTCTCATCATAACTTACCCACCTCAACTTTTTTTTGTTTATCTGTGAATTTCTTAATTTCTTACTTTTAAAGCGAGTGATAAAAGAATTTTGGTTGGCAGATTTTTATTTTAATGTTTTGAATATATCAACCCACTGTCTTCTGGCCTCCAACTATCCTCGGGGACTTGTTTAGCATCTTTTGTGTACTCATATTTTTATGTCCCTTGATACCTTTGCTCTGGCACAAGCTTTCTGGTCTTTTAAACACTACATACACATGACTGATAATGACATCAGATTTCCCAATGTTATCTAATCAGTATGCATGCTGGCCTCCATTATGATACTTTCACTGCTGTGGCTAGGAGTCTCCTTCTTGGACCATTTCCAGGAAATACATTTTCCCTAACTTAAAAAAGCAAAACAAAGCAATATACACCTTTCAAAACGTGAAAAGGCATAAATTTTAAGTTTTAAATTATTTCCTAGAAGGGTTCAAATGCCCAAGATAGTTTTATTTTTTGATTTTTTTTAGTTGTAGATGGACACAATACCTTTATTATATTTATTTATTTTTATGTGATGCTAAGGATTGAACCCAGTGCCTCACACATGCTAGGCAAGCCATAGCCCAGTCCCCCAAGATAGTTTTGATGGAGGTTTAGCCATTCCAGAATAAAACCATTCCTTGTTTGTAAATTCTAAATTATGTTACCTGACTCATTACCATTTGAATACTTCCAATTTTGTTTCCAAACAGATCATCATATTGAGCATGTAAACAGGATTTATTCATTTGGTCAGGAACATAGCTGACTGCAAAGCATAAGAGAGCTTCAAAGAATTCCAGGAAAACCAGCTGAAATAGAAGAAAACATAGGGATGTCACTCATTCTGACACACCTAAAAGCAGACCAGAGATTGATTTGGGTGTTCATTTCTTATTCATTTTTCTGACATTGAAATATCCTTCTTTCTAATATTAATCTCTATTATTCTAACAATCAAAAATGTATATGTGGGCTGGGATTGTGGCTCAGAGGTAGAGCACTCGCCTGCCGTGAGTGAGGAACTGGGTTCAATCCCCAGCACCACATAAAAATAAAATAAACATATTGTGTCCACCTATAACTAAAAAAATAAATATTAAAAAAATGTTAAAAATGTTAAATATTAAAAAACTGTTTCATATATTTGGGTTCAGATTCTTTCAATCAGATCTTGGTTCTTGGTGTCCAAGGCAGAACAAACACCATTTGTGACACATCTTTACAAACCTCAAGTTCTAAGTTGCTGTCGACCCCATCATGTATGAAAGGATTGTCCTCTGCTATTACTGCCACAAATTTGGTTGCAGTTAATTCTTTATTTATCATCCTAAAGTCCTATAAAAGCAAAAACCAACCACATCATAACTGTGCATAATTAATTATAAACAGGTATATATTTTAATGTCATGCACATGCTAGTGTTATATAACACTTTAAGAAAATATGCCAGAAATCAATATCTTAAAAACTATCATTGTGAAAAGCATTCTGGACTACCATTAGTATTTGCCTCTCTACCCCTTTTCTAATCTCTCTAAAACAACAAAGTATGATTTTTTCACACAGACACAGGACAGACAAAATGGAAGTTGGATGATCCAGGTTTAAAATATCAACACGTTCCATGGGCTGAGCGGGCTGAGCTGCTGGCCCCAGCAGAACAAGGCAAAGGCGCTCAGGGCGGGAGAGGCCAGTGTGCAGCTTGGGAAGGAGAGGTGCCACAGCAGCCCAGCTCAGGAAGTCGAGTGTGGCTGGTCCCCTCTCTACACTGAAGGTTTTCTCTTCATAAAAACTGGGTCAGAGAGAATTTGGGCAGAAAACACAGTGCTTTGCTCAAAAGATAGATTAAATGGGTCTTGATAAGGCCCTTCTCCCACACCCAGTTCTGCCCTTCACTCTGTCTTAAGGCCTGTGATAATCAGGCACCTGTGTCCCACGCAGGAGTCAGGAGACATCTTTTGGAAAACCCCAAGAGAAAAGCTCCATCAGCATTCACAGTTTGCAGCAGGGCAGGTTCCTGGCTGATCCCTCTACAGTGAAACCTATTCTTTGACAAGTGCCACCTAATAGCTTTAGAGCTGCAGCCTTATATGTGTGTGACAGCCAAGGTTCACGACACATCTGAAGGAAAGGCTTACTGTAAACACCAAGGAACCAAACCAGACAGACAAAAAACAGCATTTGGAGGGAACAGAGGTATTCTGTAAGAACAGAGAAAAACCATTAAGCCTCCCCCCTTCAAATCATGTCTTCAGTGGGATAAGAGATATTATGTCCATATTAAAATTAAAAACCCTGAATTGCTAGAATACTAATTCATTATTCTGAAAATTAATCAAGGAAAAAAAATCAACCATTTCTCCCTCCCTTCCTGTATGGATTATATCTCAAGAGTACTCAAACAATGAAGTAAGTTCTTGAAGACTCACAGCTAATGAATGTACAAGAAATGACAGATTTGGAAAATTGCCATTGTATAGTCTCTTGTGAACTAATGGACATTAGTATGACCACTGGGGGCTGCAGAGCCCCTAGACAGGGTTTATGGGAAACATTATAATAGATGATCACACTGACACTGTATGACCCACTGATCAATCACAGCATCACTACAAGGAATCCCTCTTGATGGGATGTAACAGGAAGGACACATACCACCTGTGGCTTGGTCACAAAATAAAAACCTGAATCTCATCAATCCCCTAATCCAGCCACTATAATGAGAGTGTGGGGAAAAGAAGAAGATGTCAGATGCCACCTCTAAGAGCCACACCATTCTCTTCAGAGACAGTCCACAGTGCCTTTGCCAGGAGTATGAACCCTTGCTTGCCGCTCTGTAAGTCCCCCCTCTGAAATCCTTCATGTGGGAGCGTGAGGGCAGATGGCTGCAGATCCCCATGGATCACTTGGGGATCACTTGAGCCCCATGGTCACTTGGGTCCCATGGAACCCCCTCTACCACAAAAACCAGGATGTCTGACTTAGTCTGCAAGGACAGATGACCAAGTTTCTTCAATAATAAATGACCATGAAGAAAGGGGAAGGTAGACAAACAGGTATATAATATTCTAGCCCCCAAATCATATACCCTTAAAAATTATTTTCCTACAGTAAGACACTAAGTAATTGTCAGTTTTTCATAATGCATAGCACTTTAAAAATGTTAAGCACTCTATCATTAGTGTTCAATTTTCCCATCATTTGCATTCCCAAAATTTCAAGTATTGTGGAATAAAACTATTGCTAGTATAAGAACATTGCATAAATAAAGTCTCACTATTTTTCAAATTAACTTTTAAAAATCACTTTTCTGATGAGCATTCTTTTTTTTTCTTTTTGAGACAGGACTCGACGTTGCCCACACTGCCTCCACCTCCCAAGTACCTGGGACCGCAGGCCATGGCATGGCACCCCACATGAACAAGTCCTCCTCCTGTCTTCCTTGAAAGGCAGGATTGCAGGAGTAAAGGTGCTGTCACCCAGGCTGTTCCCTCCCCTCACCTGTGGCACCATCCCTGTATCTGGGCTTCCCACCATCACAGACCGTTTACATGACTCTCTTCTGCCAAAGGGGACTCAGTAAACATTCAGTGACCATGAAAATCCATCCCAAATCTTCACCTCATTACATATCACACCTAGAATACCTTTCCTTTAATTAATATAAAAATACCTATAAATAGAAAACCAACTTCAGAGACTTTGTTTTTCCTTATGGTACTGGGGATTTAACCCAGAGGCACTCTATCACTGAGCTACATTCCCAGCCCTTTTTAAATTTTTATTTTATTTTTATTAGACAGGGTCTTGCTGAGGTGCCCACAGTGGCCCTGAATTTGTGACCTCCTGCCTGAGCCTCCCAAGTTGCTGGGATTTACAGTGGTATGCTACCATGCCAGGACCAGTTAAAGCCAATTTCAAACCTAAGTGGTATTAAACTTACTCTCAACATCCAGAGGAAGTGTCTTATCTTCATTGTAAGCTCATTGGGTGGAGCTGCATTTGGTCTGCAATAAGCTATGTAAATCTCCCAGCACTTATCAATGTAATTCATTGAGTAGAGTGTCCTCTGTTGCTCACTGAACAAAGTGCCTAAAATAGAACATTCCGAAAATGATTATAGAATTAAATTGTGAAGAAATGATAGCAAATGTAATCCTATTTTTCTTTTTCTTTCTTTATTTTTCTTTTTCTTTTTTTTTTTTATACTGGGGATTATACCCATGGACACTTTACCACTGAGCTACATCCCCAGCCCTTTATATTTTTTTGAGATAAGGTCTCACTAAATTGCCCAGGCTGAACTCAAACTTTTGATCTCTGAGATCCTCCTGCCTCAGCCTCCTAAATTGCTGGGATTATAAGTATGCAACAGCACCTAGCCTGATCCTATTATTCTTATATTTACCTTTTACTTGGTAGGCATTTGGATGGATATTCTCAGTCATCAGTTTTGTGAAACACAAAAAGAGCGACGGACTTCTGCTTCTGTGATTAAAAATACCATAATTAGGCCTGGGGTTGTGACTCAGCTGTAGAGCACTTGCCTAGCATGTGCATAGCCCTTGGTTTGATCCTTAGCACCACATAAAAATAAATAAATAAAATAAAGGTATTGTGTCCAACTACAACTAAAAAATAAATATTTAAAAAAATACCATAATTACTCCTCTCCCCAGAAGCTAGAACTTAATTCTTTTCTGGATTGTGGGCAAGATTTAATACTTCTAAAAAATACAGTATAAATAGAAATGGGAGAAGGGGAAAATGTAAGTTTCAGTAGAAAAACTTGCCTAATGCCATTTAATCTGTGAGCCAGGTTAGCATAACTAGTAACAAGACACACTGACATCACACACTGCCTGTATGACATGATAGGAAGGGCAGTTCTCTGCCACAGTGTTCTTCACCCAAATCCACGCCACAGTGTAATCAAGAGAAGATATCAGATGCCAACCAAAACCATGGGACATTTTACCAAATAACTGACCAGCATTTCTTAAAATGTGAAGGTTATGAAAGACAAAGAGTCCAAGAAAGTGTCATAGATTAGAAGAGTCTGAGAAGACATGACAGCAAAATGAATTGTGGGATCCAGGATTAGATCCTGAAACAGAAACAAGAGAGGGGAAAAACTGGGGAAATCCTACTAGTATCTAGTTTAATTAATAATATTATAGCAACATTAATTCCTTACTTTAATTTTTTTGGGGGGGTACCAGAGATTAAACTCAAGGTCACTTGACCACTGAGCCAGCCACATCCTAGCCCTATGTTGTATTTTATTTAGAGACAGAGTCTCACCGAGTTGCTCAGTGCCTCACCATTGCTGAGGCTGGCTTTGAACTCGAGATCCTCCTGCCTCAGCCTCCAGAGCCACTGGGATTACAGCTATACACCATTGCACCCAGTGATTCCTTACTTTTGATAAATGCATCATAACTACATAAGAGTCACCAGTAGGGGAATTTGAGTGAAGGATACACGGGAGCTCTACACACTACTTTGGCAACAACTCTGAAAACCTAAAATTATTTTTTAAGATAAAAAGTTAAAAAAAAAAAAAAAATATATATATATATATATATATATATATATATAGAGAGAGAGAGAGAGAGAGAGAGAGAGAGAGAGAGAGAATCACTTTTGCTCTAAGACAGACAGGAAATTATGACCTAAGAAGTAAGAGTTAGTTGTGATTACTTCTGAATAGAATTCCAAGAGCTATTTGCAATATTAAACAACTCAGATACGAAGGGTTTTCAAAGCCTAATCTAATATCTTAGGGCTTTGTGGGTGATATTTGTGGAAAAATTTTGGTCCTAGTCCTGCATTTCAAAGATATGTAAAAACACTGATTAACAGAGACAAGAGGACAGCACTGTAATTACAGCACAGGTGGGCTCCGCGTCAGCCCCTCACAGGGATCCAAGAGTGGTACTTACTGAAAGTCTTTGTGATAAATGTGGTAAGCCAAGCGCAGCAGATAGTTCAAGAATGTTCTCAAAAGTATTGTTCTAAATGGAGAATGAATTTCTTCAACTGGTATATCACTGTTGGCTAAAATTTAAAAATTGGAAAGGATGTGTAACATATTCTAGAACCTTGAGCATTGAGAGCACTGAGATCAAGGACACAGGTTAATTTCTGGAACTCCTTTCCCGACTTTTGCCTTCCCTACTCTCTCAACATTTCTGAACTCGTTTGCAAGTGGCAGTGTGATACACTGTCCTCTAAACCCAAGGAAGTAAAGGACCTTGAATACTCACCACTTAATATCCTGTCCATATCAGCAAGAGTTATATTGTGGTGATGAAATTTGCAATCTTTTAGAAATCTCCAGAAGTGAAGCTTTGTCATCAGAAATGTATTATCCAGAGAGTGATCACATCCTAGGCTACTGTAGAAGCTATAGATTCTTCTTAATTCTGTAATGTTTCTTAAGACAGCGAATTCTACCTGAAAAAAGTTGGCCATGTATCTTAATCCTGCTTCATAGGAGGAACAGTAAAAGACAAAGCACCTGTTTTCTAAATCAAATGAGGACAGTACATGTAAAGAAAGCAGGTACTTCTTACCTGGGGGAGCTCAATGTTTTATTCTGCCTGTCACCCCTAGTCAATAAAATACCATTTCTGAACAGTAAAAAAAATCTGGAAAATGAAGTTCCTTTCACACTGCAATGTGATGGCATCCTGTCTCAATGGCAGCAATAAAATTCTATTGTCGTTATCCCTCCTGAACATAGATGCAAAAATCCTTGTGACAAAATAATTGAATCCATATGTAAAACAAATAATACATCAACACCAAGTGGAGTTTATGCTGGCTGGGGGTGCAGGGATGGTTTGGACATTTGAAAAAACAATCAACAAAATTCACCATATTGGTACATTAAATAAGAAAAGCTTCATGATCATACCAGTTTATGCATTTGACAGAATGAACATCCATTCATGATAAAACCAGCAGCAACTTAGGAATAGAAGGGAACTCCTTAACCTGATAAACAGCATGTACCAAAGACATCTAGCTAACACAGTTAGGGATGAAGATATAGGCACTAAGCAATGTCCATGTTGATTGCTGTACTAACCTTTCTCTGTCCCCAGTTCACCTTTTAGTATTTTCCCAGGCCTCCGATGCCCTTATGCTCTCCTGAACTCCCCATCCACACAGCCTGACAGCCTGTATAGTGTCCCCCTCTTCAAAACCAGTTAGCCTGTGTCTCTCCCTCTTAAACATTCAGAGAATGTGAAGAATAGCATTTGGGGTCCCCAAGGAGAACCAAAAGCCCCCACCTGGATGGTGCATCAGGCATTGGTTACTCTTGCCATTAACTCCTGCTTTTTGAGATTCAATTCAATGCACAACACAGAATTTGTCTTCATGAAGCTTAAAATCCAGTAATAAACGCAAGACATGCACCTTACGCAATAAGGAGGTATCGCTGAGAGAACTGAACCAAGGTGAAGAGAAATCCTAAAGCAGCAGCTCCTTGGAGGAAGGTGCACTTGAACTGAACCTGGGAGAACAGAATGAGCAGTAGAATTTCACAGAGCAGGCACCCCAAGGAGAGGCCGGGCCTGGAACAGACAGTGGCTGGGGTGGGGGGCTCCAGGAACACCAGGAGGGCTTGCAGTGAAGCAGTCATCCCCTTCTGCCCAGCCCATCCTGTGCAAAATGGGACAACCCCAGATCTGCCCAGAGGCTGCTGGGAGGATTCAGTGAATTGAAGGCATTTGGGACCGTGCCCAGAGCCAAGTGTGACTCTGCAGCAGCAAACCAGTGTTCTGTGGGTCATGGTGAGGAGGAGAGGACTGACAGAGGCAGACTGGAAAGGGGCTGATGTCAGATCACGTGACAAAGGCAACCATTTGAGGGAGAACTGGTAGCTCAAAGGCTCAGAGGACCATGGCCTGTTTGCTTTAGCTTATTCTGGTCGAAAATAGAATAATCCAGAACCTCTACTCAGATACCCACCTTTTGACAGAATGCCAATAATAGATAATAAACACATATACTTGTGAAGAAAATCTTAAACCCAAATTGAGAGAGATTCTAAAAAATAACTAAGGAAGCTAGCCAATCCCTAAAAAACAAATGCCAAATGTCTTCTTTGATATAAGGAGAGTAACTAAGAACAGAGTAGGGTTGAAGAGCATGAGAAGAAGATTAATATTAAACAGGGATGAGAGGTGGGAGAGAAAGGGAGAGAGAAGGGAAATTGCATGGAAATGGAAGGAGACCCTCAGGGTTATACAAAAGTACATACAAGAGGAAGTGAGGGGAAAGGGAAAAATAATACAAGGGGGACAAATGAATGACAGTAGAGGGGGCAGAGAGAGAAGAGGGGAGGGGAGGGGAGGGGAGGGGAGGGGGGATAGTAGAGGATAGGAAAGGCAGCAGAACACAACAGACACTAGTATGGCAATATGTAAATCAATGGATGTGTAACTGATGTGATTCTGCAATCTGTATATGGGGTAAAAATGGGAGCTCATAACCCACTTGAATCAAAGGGTGAAATATGATATATCAAGAACTATGTAATGTTTTGAATAACCAACAATAAAAAATTAAAAAATAAATAAATAAAAAATAACTAAGCAGTCCTCTTGAGAGGTCTCAAGGTCATGAAGACAATGGAAAATGAAGGAGCTGTCACAGGTTAGAGGGTTAAGGACACAGACAACCCAGTGCAACATGGGGTCAGGTTGAATGCCAGAACAGAAAGAGGGCATTAGGAGAAAAACTGGTAAAATTCTGCCCTAGAAGTTGGTAGTGGGGCACCAGGGTTGCTGTAATGCTCATTCCTGGGGTCTGTCCACTGTACCATGGTCATGCACGATGGTACATTAAGGGAAGCTGAGAGAAAGATATATGGAGACCACAATTTTTTCAACTCTCTGTAAGTCTAAAATCAGCTCACAATCAAAAGTAAAAAGTAAGTTATAGAAAATTCACTAAATTTCAATATGTCTATCATGAAATATTATAGTCATTAAAAACATTTAAATGTATTCCCCGAGTGTAGAATCACAGGATCCTTTACTTTCTGTGTCATATTTCCATAATGTTTGAATTTTTGGTAAGAGCATGTGTTCCCTTTGTGATTATGATATAGTCAAGATATTTTTAAATCTATAAGTTGTATAAGACCCACATATTTGACAGAACTCCAAAGTGTAAAATGGTATAATAATAACATATAAGAGATTTTATATATATTACATTATTATAATATAAGAGATTAGGGAGAGAATAATGTAAACAATATGATCACACCTTTCTTGGTAAATCAGTATATATTATTCACCTAAAAATTATATTGTAGGAGCACATCTTATGGCACTGAATAGCTAGCATTAAATTCCATGTGAAGACAAAGATTTTGTGAATGGAATGATTCTAGTTCTATCTATGAACATTAAAAATTGGAAAGAGGCAGCTCAGGAGGCTGAGATAGGAGGATCACAAGTTCAAAGCCAGCCTTAGCAACAGCAAGGTGCTAAGCAACTCAGTGAGACCCTCTCTCTAAATAAAATACAAAACAGGGCTGGGAATGTGGCTCAGTGGTCAAGTGCCCCTGAGTTCAAGCCCCAGTACCATCCCCCACCAAAAAAAAAAAAAATTGGAAAGAAGGAGCTGGGCTTGGTGGTACACGCCTGTAATCCCAGTGATTTGGGAGGTTAAAGCAGGAGGATCACAAGTTCAAGGTTAGCCTCAGCAATTCAGCAAGACTCAGTCTCTAAAAAAATAAAAAGGGTTAGGGATTTAGCTCAGTGGTAAAGCATTCCTGGGTTCAGTCCCCAGTACACCCCCAAAAAAATTTGGGGGGAAAGAGGGTCACAAGATTTTATTGGGATGGAAAGCCTCTTTTACTTTTTCCTTATCTGCTTTCTACATTTTCTACTTCTGAAATTAGGGAATGTGATGAAGACTCCTATTTTTTTTTTTTTCAGTTGTTGATGGACCTTTATTTTATTTATTTTTATGTGGTGCTGAGGGTCAAACCCAGTGCCTCACCCATGCTAGGCAAGCGCTCTACCACTGAGCCACAACCCCAGTCTGAAGACTCATATTTTTAACACGAATCTTGCAGTAGAATTTTGATTCTGGGAGCCTGAGTTACAGTGATGGCCTTGGAACCCAAAATAGGAGGAGAGGAGATGGAGTGAGGCATCTTCCTGAGGCTCAGAGAACCAGGAGCCAGAGGAAGTAGTGATGAGGAAGAGGAAAGGGCAAAGACGCTTTGCAGCGCAGAGGCTGGCTGGTTCTTGAAGTAACATCTTCAACAAGCGTTTCTGGAGGAAACATGCTGGTCCCCAGTCTAAGCAGGGGCTGTGGTCTAACTGGTACCTGGTAGCTATAATTTTCCAGACAGTCATCTGTCTCTAAAGACTTCTCAATTTCCAGTGATTTCTAAGGGCCTGAAGTTCTCCTGAATCCTAAAAGTCTGCAATAATGTACAACAGAATTAGCATCCCACCGAGGGAGGTGGCTACAGTCTTGGCCTTCAAACTGACCTGAGTGTGGGGGTGATGTGACTTTCAGTTTCCCTGAACTCAGAGAAACTGAATCCCTCCCTGTGGGCTTCCATTTTCTCACCAGCCTGCTCACTCACAGGGCTGCCTTGCAAATTAAACAAGATGATCTACTTAAAGCCTGTTATGCGTGTGTATAGAAGACACTCGACAAGTGGCAACAATCACCAGCTCTAGCATACCAGGACTGTGGAGATTCTGTTATTTAAATCTACAATATAAATTTATAGAATAAAAAGGTTTCTACCTGCTTTTTTTCTTCTGCTTGGTTTTCCTTAGGATACATGTTCAGCAGCAAATTTAGGTCCAGTTCAATGCCTGATCCTAACACAGAACGACTTTTACTGCCATCAAGCTTTCTGATAATTTCTAGCAAATGATGAAGACAAATAAAGGGGATAATTAAGAAAAACAATGTTAAAAGTTTTCACCATTATGTCCAAATGTTTTCTAACAAAATGTGATACAACCATATGAGGAAAAAACTAAGAAAACAGTTGCTACAGGAAACTTCTGTTTTTTGAAGTATCAGACATATTTTCATGAATGGACACATAGATAAAAGCAGGCTGATTTGTTTTCAACTGAGTAAATGATCCTACCAGCACTATCAGAAGATTTGCGTTGCCTGTCTATTTGGGCATCATCTACGGGCAGGTCCAGGTAACTTATAAATTCAACTTCAAGATCTGGAAACTGTGCTATGTGGTCATTGAAAAACGGGCCTTCATACACACGCCCATTCTTGAAAGTCAATCGACCCTGCAGGTAGAAAACATTTTGCAGTTTGGGAAATGTTTCCTTGGGGGAAAAAAAACATTGGTGGATGCACATCAAAGGCTCTTTCGAGGGTTTGGAGTTGAGGATTTTTTTGGTGTTGTTCTTGTTGTTGTTGGTGGTGGGGTTTTGTTGTTGTTGTTGTTGTTTTGTTTTGTTTTTGGTACTGGAATTGAACTAAGGGGCACTCGACCACTGAGCCACATCCCTAGCCCTACTTTGTATTGTATTGAGAGACAGGGTCTCACTGAGTTGCTTAGTGCCTCGCCGTTGCTGAGGCTGGCTTTGAACTCTGGATCCCCCTGCCTCTGCCTCCTGAGCTGCCTGATGGGGCTATTTGTTTTGAAGCTGCCGCATACAGCCTGGCTCCTAGGGTATCATATCTCTGTGTAAATCCTCTTTTCTCCTCTTCTTCCTGCTGCTTCTTCCCTCCTTTACTCTTCTTTCTCTCCTCTTTCTATACCTACCCCAGAACCTCTCCCCAACTATAAGCCCCTTTACATCACAGAATGGGTCTTATTAAAACTATGCACATGACCAGCAGAGTGCCCAGGGCACAAGAGGTGCTTCCTGCTGCTTGTCAAAGTTCAATTACTGATTCAGAGGTGAGCAAATGATGCAGTTCAGCTCTGTGAAATGAGAAGACATTTATAGAAGGATTTAGGGAAAAGAATTTCTTTTCTTCTACTTAGTGTGGCACATGGGTGTGAAGTCTTGAACTACAGCAGCTATCCTGCAGTCATGGGGAAGGGACAACACAAGAGTGAAGCTGACATGGGGGCAGATGATGTGGACAGACGAAAGGAAATCCTGATATCAAAAAGTCACCGAATCAAACCAACCTAAGCCCACATTCACATTAGTCTTTATTATATACGGCACATCAAACTAGATTGTCTGATACTTTGAAACCCAAACCATCCTCACACACATACACACACACACATGAAACACAAACTAAATAACCTCTAAATATCCAGGAAATAGAAAACATGTCAAAAATATTTTAAAATTTATGTAACCACCTTAACAGTGAATTATCTATGCAAAATCGATAATGCAATTTACTGGCCACAAATGAGTCACGTTTTACTGCATTTCAGTTGCTCTGTGTAATGTTTTAGATATAATCTTCCCGGGACCCTCACCATGCCGTGTTTTTTATTGGAAACCCATTCTCCCGCATACATGGCTCCACTGGCATAGTAAAACTTTCCATGTCCATGACGACATCCGTTCACAAACTCTCCTATGTATTCATTTCTTAAAGGATACTGGGAGTTGGGGATTCTCTTGAGAAACCATGTGTGTGTTCCAAAGCCATTCTGAAAAGAAAGTGAGATGCCATCAGAAATGCTCAAAAGACTTCCTCCTTTTACCTGAATTCATTTGAAATTAAGACAAATACAGTGATAACTTGGAGGACATGAACTTTGGAGCCACACAAACTAGGTTCAATATCAGCTCAACTACTTACTAACCAATCTCTTTACCTAAGACAAATTATGTAAGCCTTTAAGGGTCAATATCCATTCATAATAAAAACTGTAAGGAAATTGAGAATTAGCTGGGCATGGCAGCTAATGTATATCCAACATCTCAGGAGGCTGAGGCAGGAGGATTGTAAGTTCCAGGCTAGCCTCACCAACTTAGCAAGGCCCTAAGCAACTTAGTGAGACCCCGTCTCAAAATAAAACACAAAAAGAATTAAAATAATAAGAAGAAGAATTATTAAAGAGAGCTTCCTGAACCAGAAAAGGGCATCTATGAAAAATCTACAGCTAACATCAACCCTGATGAAAGACTGAATTCTTTACTAGTAGGATCAAGAATGGCATAAGGATTTCCGTACCTCTATCATACAGGATGTCCTACCCACAATACTATTGTATTATAGTAAGAGGGAAAACTCCAGACAGATTAGAAAGACGATATAAGTTGACTGTACTTGCAAAGATGATTGCCTATATAAACACCACCAAAGAACCTACAAAAAAAGTGAAGCTATTATGTTAGTTTAACAAGATCCCCATTACCAGATTAATATATATTAGAAAATTCAAGTTTTATGAACTGATACCAGAGTTTTTCTCTTCTGTGCAGGAAATCCATCATTTGTTTCTTTCTTTCTCTTGCTTTTTCCCCAGTACTGGGGATTGAAGTCAGGGGTGCTTTACCACTGAGCCACATCCAAAGCCTTGTTTTATCTTTTTTACATTTAAAATAAGTGTTTCCACTTTTCCCTTTTTTATTGGCTCTTTTTAGTTATACATAACATTAGGATTCATTTTGACATAACTAAAAAAGCACGGAATATAATTTGTTCTAATTCAGTCACTAGTCCTTCCTTTTCTCTCCTCTTCTCCCCCGGATTCCCTTCCCCTCCACTGATCTTTCTGCTATTTTTAGTTGTTTGGGTTTTTAAAATTTTTTTTTCCAAATATTTATTTTTTAGTTTTTCACAATATCTTTATTTTGTTTTTATGTGGTGCTGAGAATCGAACCCAGTGCTTCACACATGCTAGGCAAGCGCACTACCACTTGAGCCACATACCCAGCCCCTGTTTGGGGGTTTTTTATTTTTGTTTTTAGTTACTATTTTATGGATGTACATGATGATGATATTCACTAAGTTATATTCATATGTGCACACAGGAAAGTTAGGTCAGATTTATTCTTCCCTTAACCCTCCTTTCTTCCTCTTCCTCACTTCCCTGCATCTTTATTTTTATTTATTTTCTCGGGGAACTACCAAGGATTGAACTCAGGGGAACTAACTCACCCACTGAGCCACCTCCCCAGGCCTATTTTATATTTTATTTAGAGACAGGTCTCACTGAATTGCTTAGCACCTCACTTTTGCTGAGGCTGGCTTTGACGTGCAATCCTCTTGTCTCAGACTCCTGAGCCACTAGGATTACAGGCATGTGCCACTGCGCCTGGCTGATCTTTTATTTTGGTGGAATACCTCCGTTTCCCTTCTTCTCTTCCCTCCTCCCCTTATTTTGGACAGGCTTCTGCAGACCAGAGGAAACATTCGACCCTTGACTTTATGAATCTGGCTTATTTCACTTAGCATCTTGTCCTCCATTCCATCCATTTACCAGCAAATGCCTTAATTTCATTCTTCTTTATGGCTATATCCATTGTGTATATGTACATTTTCTTTATCCATTCATCTGTTGATCTCACAATTTGGCTATTATGAATTGTGCTACTACAAACACTGATGTGGCCATATCACTATAGTATGCTGATCTTAGATATTTTGAATATGTACCAAAGAGTGGGATAGCTGGGTCATATGGTAGAGATTTTTGAGGAATATGCATATTTCTTTCCAGAGTGGTTGTACTAATTTGCAGTCCCTCCAACAATGTATGAGTGTAACTTTTTCTCATATCCTTGCCAACACATTACTACTTGTATTCTTTTTTTTTTTTTTTTTGGTTCCAGGGATTTAACCCAGAGGCACTTTACCACTGAGCCATATCCTCAGCCCTTTTTATTTATTTATTTAAAATAGTCAATGGACCTTTATTTTTATTTATTTATTAAAATAGTTATTCTTAAGTTTGTTTTTTTTTAAGGTGGATACAACGTCTTTATTTTACATTTACGTGGTGCTGAGGGTTGAACCCAGTGCCTCGTGCATGCTAGGCGAGCACTCTACCACTGAGCCACAACCCCAGCCTCTATTTTATTTATTTATTTATATGTGGTGCCAAGAATCAAACCCAGTGCCTCACACATGCCAGACAAGCACTGTACCACTGAGCCACAACCCCAGTCCTTTTTATTTTTGAGAAAGGATCTCACTAACTTGCTTAGGGCTTCACTTAATTGCTGAGGCTGGCCTGGAACTTGTGATCCTCCTAGCTCAGCCTCCCAAGTCACTTGCATTACAAGAATGTGCCACTGTGCCTGGCTACTGGTATTCTTGATAACTGACATTCTAATTGGAATGAGATGAAACCTCAGTGTAGTTTTTGAGTAGCATTTCCCTGAATGCTAGAGATGTTGAACGTTTTTCCATATATTTTTTTGTCATTTGTATTTCTTCTTTTGAGAAGTGTCTTGTTTAGTCCTTTTGCCCATTTACTAATTGGGTTATTTGGTGTGGTAAGTTTCTTGAGTTCATTATATATTCTGGATATTAGTCCCTATCTGAGGAGTAGGTAGCAAAGATCTTTTCTCATTCTTTAGGTTCTTTCTTCACACTTTGCTGTGCAGAAGCTTTTTAATTTGATGCCATCCCATTTATTGATTTTGGGGGTTGTTTCTCGTGCTTTAGGAGTCTTCGTAAAGAAGTCAAGCCCTGTGCCAACATGTTGGGAGTGTCGGGCCTATGTTTTCTTCTAGCAGTTGCAGAGTTTCTGGTCTAATTCCTAAGGGGATCAAAGTTGACTTCTGTGCAGGGTGAAAGACAAGGGTCAAGTTCCATTCTTCTATATATATTCTTCTATATATTTTTTTATTTTTTATTTCAAGACAGAGTCTCATTAAGTTGCCCAAGCTGAACTTGAACTTGCAATCCTCCTGCCTCAGCCTCACAAATTGCTGGGATGACAGGGATGTGTTACCACATGTGGCTGAAAATCCAACATTTCTAAAGTACAAATAATAGTCCCTGCCCTTACAGGAGCCACCTGAATTTATGAAGTTGCCAATGGCAGAATCTAGCTTGTGTATGACACTATTAGAGAACACTAAATAATAAAACAGCAATTAAAAAAAGATACAGTTGAGACCAGTAAAGAATATTTTGAGTTTCTAAATTCAGCAGAGCTTTAATTTTAGACTATTGAACAATATCATTCACATACCAGGGCTAAGGATGAGTACAGCATCGCTGTGGGTGTGCCACGCCAAGATGGCCCAGTCCTACCTGGACTCCCCTCTCCCAGGAGCCGGTATACTCCTCATTTGTTGTCAGCCATCTCATCTTGCCTTCCCCGTGGCGCATATTGTCTTCCCACTGGCCTTCATATATGTTTCCAGATTTGTAACTGGAACAAAATAAACCAACAGGCAGCAAGCAGTGACAGAAATCCAGCCCTGGGACCCCAACACTCTTCACTGTGCTGAAGTCCAGCAGGTGGGCATGTGGTCAGTAAAAATTATCATCTTAGGGAGCAGAATAAATCACTTTATTAAACCCACTGATATTAAGGTGACAAAGTAGGTAAGAAATAATTCACTATCATATGATGACTAGTTAATATTTGTGCCTAAATATTTTAATCATTTTATTAAAACATTAAAAATCCTTTTAGTAAAATATTAGATTCTACATCTGAATCCAAAATCAAGCAAATGTGTCATCATTCTTCAGAAAATATACAACAAATAATGAAGACTGATGATTAATACAAAGAACATAGAAAGGCAGTTTCTACCTAAACTGAATCAGTATGTTTAATGTTATTTTTCTAAAATTTTTATGGAATGTTTTCTTCACTTTGGAGATTAATTTAAATATTCCACCTGCTTTGACAGAAATGTATCCTCTTATCTGTAGGCTAAGTGAGAGTTATTTGGGCCCACACACACTTTTTCACCTACACCCCAAACGTGGCAGTGATCATACCTACCATCTTATTCCCCAGCCCTTTTTGATGTTGTAGACCCAATCTCCCTCGTACCAAGAGGTACCCTCCTGATTGTAATAAATGGAGCCCTAAAACGAAAAATCCAAGCTTCATAACATACTTTTTTAAATGTAAAAATAAAAAATATATAAACTTATAAAACTACACAGAATACAATGTCACACTTCACATGAGACACAGAAGCTATTAAGTTTCTATTTTACAATCACAAAAATGGCACAGCAAGGGCGAATGAGATATCACAAACCAATTATCCCTTAATAACAAAGTGCCACATTAAGGCAGGAATGAGTGCACTCATTGTATTCATTAACTCTTAGTCACAGCCCTGGAGAACCCCATTTTTTTGGTGCACCTTCCTCATAACTGGAGGTCACTCTTTCACAAACCAAAGCCATTTTGTTTTATACATTTTGACATCTTACCCATTTTGTTGCCTCTGTGTATGAGCAACATGCAGTAAGCTTCCTTTGATGATTCCTTCAAGGCAATGGTTCATGCCACTCTGCAGTGTGTTTGGATCTATGCTGAATGGCCTCTAGTTACCTCGTGGCTATTTATCCCTGAGTGTGTGTCCAATCATGCACACACGTGTACCGATACACACAAGCAATTTTTATTTTTAGTTGTAGATGGACACAATACCTTTATTTTATTTATTTATTTATTTATATTTAAAATTTTTATTTATTTTTTTTAGTCATACATGACAGTAGAATGCATTTTGATATATAATACATACATGGAATGTACATACATCAATCTTATTGTCTATTCTATTCTGCTGCCCTTCCTATCCTCCCTACTCCTCCCCTCCTCTCCATCCTTTCTCTCTATCCAATCTAATGTGACACACTTTTTTTTTCTTTTTCTCATTACAACATCATATATGTATTCTGTATAACAATGAGGTTCTCCTTCCATCTTCTGTGCAACTCCCCTTCTCCCTCTTTTTCCCTCCCACCTCTCTTCTCTATTTAGTGGTAGTCTTCTTCTCATGCTCTTCCTCCCTATCCCATTTTGAGTCACCCCCCTTATATACTTACAGGGACACAGCCACATCAATGTTTATAGCAGCACAATTCACAACAGCTAGAATGTGGCACCAACCTAGATGCCCTTCAATAGATGAATGGATTTTAAAAATGTGGCATTTATACACAATGGAATATTACTCAGCACTAAAAAATAATAAAATCATGACATTTGCAGGCAAATGTATGGCATTAGAGCAGATTATGCTAAGTGAAGTTAGCCAATGCCTAAAAAACAAATGCCGAATGTCTTCTATTTTATTTATTTTTATGTGGTGCTGAGGATGGAACCCAGTGCTTCACACATGCTAGGCAAATGTTCAAGCCCTGAGCCAAACTCCAGCCCTCTCTTTTATTTATTTATTTATTTTGGTACTTGGGATTGAACCCAGGGATACTTTGCCACTGAACCACATCCCCAGCCTTCTTTTTTTATTTTGAGACTAAATTGCTGAGGGTCTCAATAAGATGCTGAGGTCTAAGTTGCTAAAGTTGGGCTCTGACATGTGATCCTCCTACCTCAGACTCCTGAGTTGCTAATTATAGACCTGTATATACAAGCCCAGCAATTTTTTTTTAATCTTCATTATCCAGCTACCTTGCTCCTTCTTGAAGCCATCCAGGTGCTTCTGACTAGAAGTCACTATCTCCAAATCTCCAGTCTCAACTGACTTGCTATGAGCTTAAGAAATACCCATAACATCACATAAGAGAAAGAAAAGCCTGAACAGAGCAGGAGGGCTGAGGTGGAATTTTGAGAGCCTGTGAGGGAAAGCCAGGTGCCAGGTGTCCTGTGGATGCAGCCATGCAGCCCTGGCTCACCCCTCCCCCTCCCTACTCTCCTGGTCTGTGTCCCTTAAGGAAGAAGGTTGGACTAGATCCCTAATCCCTCTCAAACTCACTCTGTTTTGCTTTTGGGTTTTTTGTTTATTTGAAGTGCTGGGGATCAAAGCCAGGGCCTTGAACATTTGAAGCAAGTATTCTACTGCTGAACTACATCTCCAGCCCCATTTTCAACTTAAAACCTAGATATTCCTTTGTGCATGGACTTTGCAAGGCCTTTGGGGGAACTTCCAGTAGTTGGCACATGTCTCATGGAAGGACTTCTTCGGTTTTAGTCCATCTGGTTGTTCCACTTAAAAGGAAAACAGTAGACAGACCAGGCCCTTTCTGGAAGCAGGCCAGAAGCTGGAATTTAATTATCGGTGTTGTTCAGATAAAAAGACTCATAGAGCCAGAATTCTCCAAGGTTTCTCAGAGCTGTTCACAGATCTGCTTCTGTGCTCTGCTTTTTCATATAGCACTACTTGAAGGACCGGCACTGATTTCTGTGGAGCTTCTAAATAATGTGCCAAACTCATTACATTTACTTCTATGGGTCTTAAAATAAACCAGGGTATTTGCCTTATCTTAGTAGGCAGTCATAAAGTATAAGAAGGAAAAGGAAGGGGCTGGGGCTGGGGCTCAGCGGTAGAGCGCTCGCCTAGCACATATGAGGTCTTTGGTTCAATCCTCAGCACCACATAAAAATAAAAAAATAAAGGTGTTGTGTCCAACTACAACTAAAAAATAAATATTAAAAAAAAGAAGGAAGGAAGGAAAAGAAAAGGAAATAACAAGAGTCTCCCATTGTTTAAGAAACCATGGGTGAATGTTGTACAATCAAGGACTTGGGAATAATACCCTCTCAAATTACATTTTCCAACCTGTTAATGTTCAGCTAGTGAGGATTATAATGGTACACTTTTCTTACATATTTTCTAAAAACTACAAGATTTTAAAATTCTAAAAATTGCTGAATTTTATCAACCTATACAAAAGCAAAACAATAATTCCAAAAATAGCAAACGTAGTTAAAAATGAATATGCTCTGCATTGCTGTTGGAGGTATAAAGGGTGCAGCTGTTGTGGAAAACAGTTTGGTGGTTCCTTAAAACATTAAACATAAAGTTACCATATGACCTAGCAACTCCACTTTTGCGTAAATGCCCCCCAAAATTGAATATGAGTACTCAAATCCATCCACATATATTCACAGCTGCATTGTTCATAATAGTCAAGATGAAAATAGCCCAAATGTCCATCAACAGATGAATGGACACATTATGATCAATACTTATAATGGAAGATTACTCAGCCATAATAGAATGAAGTACTGCCACATGCTAGGACATGGATGAACCTCAAAAACATGCCAAGTGAAAGCAGCCTGACACAAAGGTCACATGTCATATGATTCCATTTATATAAAATGTCCAGCAAACCCATAGTAACAGAAAGCAGATGAGGGACTACAAGGGTACATGGAAAGGCAGCAATGGGGAGCAACTACCTAATGGGCAAGGGATTTTATTTTTGGGTGACGAAAATGTTTGAGACTAGACAGTGGTGATGGTTGCATAACATTACGAATGGACTTAGTGACACCGAACTGTGACTTTAAAATGGTTAATTTTATGTCATGTGAACACCCCCAACACTTCCCACCCACCATGTCTGCACAGCCTGTGCACAGATGGTACCTCCACCCACCTTCCCGTGTCTCTTGCCTTGGCACCAGTGGCCGACGTAGGACACAGGCTGTGTGCTGCACTTGAACATCCCAAATCCGTTCCTCATGCCATTCACCACTTCCCCTTCATACATGCTGCCATCTGGCCAAGTGTACACGCCATGGTTCATAGGAATGTTCTTCACAAAATCCCCCTAAGGCAAAATGTCTGTAAGGGGGATGAGAAGGCGGAGTGCAGGGCCCTCTTATCCTATGGGCTGTTGGAGACCAAACCCCTGATGCTGCCCCTGCCCCTCTTCCATGGGAAGCTGGACATGCCTCTAGCTTCCTCTCTTCTCCCTCCTCTGCATTCCCTGTTCTCTCTCACCTGATCCTCCTCTGCAAGGAAGTGCAGGGAGAATAAAGTATGAGGAAGGCTGTGTAGACAAAGCTCCAGGGGGTGAGCAGGTGATATGGTAAAGAGGCAGCTGCCAGCCCTGACCTTGGGACTTCAGATTCTTTACGCCTGCCTAGAAGTAGGTTCATTCCCTGTTCTCTCCAGATGTGACGCAGTGATTGACCACCAGTGGAAACTCCTCCTTCTATCTGTGGTCATCACAATATACTGCAGGCACATCTTTAGAGACTCTGCCCTGCATGGACTGGGATGTCTGCTGGGCACAGTACTATTCACCATGGCTTAGGCCAACAGATTCTCTTCCAGGAATCTGAACTTACTGGATGTTGCCATCAGCGAGGAGAGAACACAGTGCTGCCTGATTGGCCACTAGCCAGATGCTACTGCCTGGTCTCCCTGCCTGAGGAGCTCTAGTGAGAGCCCCAACCCCACCCACAAAGACATCTGACTGGGCTGATGCAGGGGTCTGTGCCTGGAAGGAGGAGTCCTTAACCCCTGAGAATTTCCAGAGGCAATGAAGCAGAGGGGTCTCCATGCCAAATTTGAATCAAAAATCTTGAATGTTGGCCACGAACTAGAGGTGGATGTCTGTAGGAATGGAGTCCCCCCGAGAAAGGCTGGCCCCAGACCAATAAGGTTGAACCCCTCCTTTGCTCTCCTTGCACCTCTGCAGCCTGCCTCCCACCATTCAGCTCCTGCCTAAATGTGACTGTTTCTGTCCTTGATTAGCTCTTATTTGAATAAGTGCATCACATACCTGTATTTTAAATGTCTTCATTACCATTTATAAACACCACTATGTTAGTAGCTCTGAAATGGAGATTTTTAGAGCGCAGTTTGGGCACTCACACTTTGTGGGTGGGAGTCAGAACTGGCACACTCTCTTGGAGAACAAATCTGTCCTAGCAGTCAATTTAAAAATACATATTCCCCACAGCCTGGCAAGTTGGGTTAAGTAAAATCCAGATAGTGGAATACATGTAGCCAGTAAAAATAGACCTAGATGTCTGGATATTGTTTGCTCACTAAAAAATAAAGTCATAGAAGAGAATGTATAATAAACTCTGTATTTGTAAAAAGTAGGAGGGAATAAATACATATGTGTTCTGTACATGAAAAGAACACATAAAATACCTCTAGAGCTACAAACAGATCCAGTTATAACAATTCCTGGCACCATGCAGTCATTAAGTTACTCTACCCTTTGATTCTGTGTATTGTTTTAAATTTGTGCTAAATTACTTTATGAAAATAATATGTCTAGTTGTGGGGGCATGATTGTGAAATTTCATAATTGCACTTTAGAACTGTAATTATCATATGCTTTACCTCATACTTCAATCCGTCAGCCCAAATGTAAGTCCCTTGTCCATGCATGAATCCTTCTGAAAACATACCCTTCAAAACAAAATAACAGCAAACCCTCAGAATGAAACTTGGTTTTAAGCACCTACTGCCACAGGCACAGTTACTTAGAGTGGAGCCTTGTCACTCTCTCCCTGTAGGAACATGCCGTCATCACAGCAGCAACAGCAGCAACATGAGAGCCGGGGTCTGAGCCAACATGGCATGGGGGTCCACCCTGTCCTAAAAGGGATATAAAGAGGGATCCCCAAATACCCAGTTCTCTAAAATGTACACCAGGCAATCTGAGTGTCCCTCGCCTGAGTAAGTTGCTAGAAAACAGTATAGTTCAAAACAATTCAAAATTTTTGGTTTTATCACCCAAAATTTTAAAATTTTTTTAAAATTATTTTAACTAGGTAGACAATTACAACCATCATCTGAATATCAGACATTATTACATTCATAAATTTTATGCTCTTGCCCGTTTTCCTTTACTGGGAATCACCAATGTGTGTCCTGAGCCACATATATGTATACATATACTGTCCCTCAGTATCCATGGGGGTTTGGTTCCTGTGACCTTGCTGCTCTGCCACTGCAGCTTATATTAAAACTGAGAGTTTTTTTCCTTTCTTCTTCTCCCTCTTTCCCCTCCCTAAGAGAAAATAAGATTATCCTTTTTCCCATCCTAGATCACATTATCTGTCTTTGAGTACACACACTAGAGGAATAAAGTAATTCAGACCTTGAGACTGACCTGGACAAGATGATCTAAGACACAGCTACCTCTCAGGGCCAAAAGTAGATTATAATCCCTGACAGGGCACACCTAGAATGGAACCTTTAAATTACCTCTTTAAAAACCCTCAGTTTCCCCTGAGGGGGAGATTCACAACTTCAAGAACAAAAGTCCTCTGTGTTTCTCCTTTACTAGCAGAGAAATAAAACTTTATTTTCCTCAAAACCTTGTCTTCATTATTACATTGGCACTGTGGACAAAGACCAAGCTTTTGGTAACACCAGGACCAAAGTCCTTCATATAAAATTATAGAGTATGTACTGTGATCTAACCACACCCTCTATACATTTTATTTACTTGGTGCTGAGGATTAAACCAAGGGCCTCATGTATACTAAGCCTGAGCTCAACCACTGAACTATGTCTCAACCTCCTTCTATATATTTTAAATAATCTCTAGATTACTGATAATACCTAATGCAATGTAAATGCTAAGTGACCAGCTATTATACTCTATTACTTAGGAAACAATGACAAGAAAAAATATCTATACATGCCCAATACAGACACAATTTTTTTCCAGAATACTTTCCATCTGTGGTTGACTAAATATGTGGATGCAGACCCCATGAACATGGCGGGCCAGCTATAGCACTGCTAGTATAGTCTAATGTTGACACATAAGAATAGTCACAAAAAACAACATAGCTGAATGTCTAAGTGCAATCAGAGTAAACAATGATAAAATTACACCCAGACCCTTCTGAAAATCATCTAGTCAGAGGCCAGGTGGGTGAAGGGAGCCTAAACAAAGAGTGTCTGCACAAAACAGAACTTGAGGTTCTCAGACACTGCTATGTATGAATGGGGGTTACCTGCAGGCTTGTTAAAATGCAGATTGCTGGACACACTTGGGGCTCCCACTCCACTTCTCAGCAGGTCCGAGTGGAGCCCCAGAATGTGCATTTCTAAAACATTCCCAGGTGATGCATGTGCTGCAGTAGGGACCACACTTTGAGAACTAATGCCCTAACCTGGCCAGCAAGAATCCATTTCAGAATCAATCCAGGTTAACTCACCACAGACAGGGCTGGCAGGCAGGAAGGCAGCCCAGAAATGTCATACTGCAGTCTATGATCCTGTTTTGTCCTATGGAATCAATTCAATGTGTCACACCGGCCAGCATTTTTACTTTAAAAAACTAAAAAATAATCAGCCCGTATTCACATACTAAGGGTGCTGTTTTCTAGAATGCTGGCTTTCACTATCTTTACACACATACTCACACGTGTACACTAGGAATTGTGATCTGAAAATGTGACAAAGCCTGATCTCACCCACCTGAAGCCTGGGGCTGAGTCTCTGGGTCTATCCCTTACCTGGAAAGAACTTAATGGTAACACCGCTCTCAGGCCTCAGGGATTCAATGTTCTAGGAATTGAAAATCTCTATTGATGCATGAAACATGAGCCACCTTGATGCAAACCAAAACAGAGGGGGCAAGTCACTGCACTGCTCTCAGTATGTTTTTAGGGGTGGCCTAAACTAATCCAAGAGCAAAAATCTAACTAGAAACTCACATTGCTAAAAACATTTTTTTTTTTTTTTTTTTTTTTTTAGGGCTAAGTGTAGCTCAGTGATAGAACATTTGCCTAGCATGTGAAAGGCCCTGGGTTTACTCTCTAGCCCCATAAGTAATAATAATTATTTTTTTAAAGTTGGGTTGTTGACCTGTAGTCCTAACTATCCAGGAGGCTGCAGCAGGAGGATTATTTGAGCCCAGGAGTTTGGGGTCAGTCTGGGCAACATAGTGAGACTCCATCTCAAAAACAAACAGAAAACAATTTAAAGAAAATCCAGCAATGATTGCTTTTTGTCAAAATCATTTGGGTCTTGGGAAAACATGGCAAGTTTACAAATCAAGTAGCTGGCAGTGCAGGCCGAGGAAATGGAGAGTGTTTCTTCCCCCCTCAGTGGAAGGACAGGGAAGGAAGCCAGCTTTCACAGCAGAAGGCAGCCATGCTCTTTGCACACACCTAGTAATAGACTAAGAGCACCTGGAACAGAAAGGGCAGTCACAGGGCAAAGTGGCTCATGCCTACAATCCCAGCAGCTGGAGAGGCTGAGGCAGGAGGATCAAAGTTCAAAGTCAGCTTTAGCAACTTAGCAAGGCCCTAGGCAACTCAGCGAGACCGTTTCTAGATGACAAAAAAAACATGGGGGGCCAGGGGATGTGGCTGAGTGATTAAGCATCCTTGGGTTTAATCCCTGGTACCAAAAAAATGAAAGGAAGAAAGAAAGAAAGAAGGAAAGAAGGGCAGTCTCATTCCTCCCAGCAAAGAGGTCTAGTCTAGGATAGCCCCTAGGTGTGAGCTGAAGCAGGGATGGAGCAGGGGTGTGAACTGCTAGATAAACAATGCTGCAAAAGGCCTGCAGAGACAGGTGTGGTGGAGCACACCTGCAATCCCAGCGCCTCAGAAGGCTGAAGCAGGAGGATTGTGAGTTCCAAGCTTGCCTAAACAACTCGGCAAGACCCTGTCTCAAAATAAAATACAAAAAAAGATCTTCGGATGTGGCTCAGTGGGTAAGCCACCCTAGGTTCAATCCCTAGTACCAAAAGGAAAAAAAAAAAAAAAGTCTGCAGAGGAGAGAAGACCCTGACCAAAATAAGTGAAGCCCTGTGGATACCAGGAGGCAGACACAGGCCAGAGGGGGCAATCATTTAGTGAAGAGTATTCAGTCATGAAAAGGTGCTCCTGAATAGCTTTTATGACAAAGGAAAATAAACACAAATGTTAAGGGGGAAAAAATCAAGGTACTAACACTCAAACTTTCTGGCCTCAGCTACGGAAATTTGTTCTCCTATAATAAGCATACATTTTTTTTTTAATGTCTGGTAACATTTAAAAAAATTTTTTATAGTTGTAGAGGGACAGTATACATTTATTTTATTTGTTCATTTTTATGTGGTACTGAGGATGAACCCATGCTAGGTAAGTGCTCTGCCACTGAGTTACAGCCCCAGCCCCAGCACACATTTCTATTACCATGTGAATGAATAGATAAATATCTTCATTGTGGTGTTATTGCAAAGGAAAACAGCAAAAGCTCTCCAAAATTATCCAACAACTATGTAATTAGTTATGACTAGCAAATTAGAACACTACGCAATATCAAAAACAACAGGAGGATGGGGATTTAGTGCTTAATGGGTACAGTCTCAGTGTCATTTTGGAATGACAAAAAAGATCTAGAGGTGGGTGATAATGATAGTTGCATAACAATATGAATGTACTTAATGCCACTTAAAATAATGCTATGTATATTTCACAGTAAAACCATTTATGAAAACCATGCAGCAAGCTGAGCATGGTGGTGCACACCTATAACCCCAGTAACTCAGGAGGCTGAGGCAGGAAGATCACAAGTTCAAAGCCAGCCTTGGCAACTTAGCAAGACCCTGTCTCAAAATAAAAAATAAAAAGGGCTGGGGATGTAGCTCAGTGGTTAAGCAACCTTAGGTTAAATCCCCAGGACCAAAAGAAAGAAAAAAGAAAACCATGCAGAAATAGATTCACAAATGAAAAAGAAAATTCAAAATGTTACCAATGAAAGTAATATGCCACATAAAAATAACGATATATCCATTAATAGAAACATGGCAAATGGAAAACATTCATGGGAAAATGATGGAAATACTGAGATTTTATTCTTCATCACAATTGGCCTCTATATCCATGGCTTCCAAGTCTGTAAATGGAACTGACCTCAGATGGATATCTACTATGCTGACATCTACTATGTAGCCAGGCCTACTGTGGTTGCACCTGTACTAAAGACACATCTTTTTTCTTGTCACTCTTCCCTAAATGATACAGTATAACATCCATTTACCTAACATTTATGTTACATATTGTAAGTCATCTAGACATGATTTAAAGTATCTGAGTGTGTATATATATGCAAATACTATTTTATATAAGGGATCTGAGCATTCCAGGATTTGGGTATCTGAGGGGATCTGGAACCAATCCTCCATGATAACCAAGGGACAACTGTTTTTGCTTTAATGATATTCTTAGAACAACAGATAAAAATCAGAGGGAAAAAAAAATCTAAAGTGACCATTTCAGTTACCCTGGGCCACATTTTTACCTTAAAAATGTAGCATAGATTCAGGCTAAAATCAGCATGAAGTATTTCCAATTTCTTTTGAAGAATCAATGGATCTTTGGGAAACCTTGCAAATTAAAACATATGACCTCACACCTTCCTCCTCACCCTGCAAGTTCCAGCAGAGACTCACGTGGTAGGTACAACCACCTTGAAAGACTGCAGAGCCTTCTCCTTCGTACAGTCCTCGGACTTTCTCTCCTTCATAGCTACAAAGAAATAAAGCTCAAAGTAATGAGTGATGTGAATAAACCTACATGACAGTGGGTTAAATTGTATAGTTGAAATATACAGTAGAGGTTACCAGGGGCTTGGGGAGGAGTGGGGAACATGGGCTTAGTGTTAAATGGATATTTGGGAAGATGAACAAGTTCTGGAAATAGAGCCAGATGATGTAACTGTACTTAATGAAATTTAAACACTGTAACTGTACTTAATGCCATTGAATTATACACTTTATATGGTCAAAACTGTAAATTTCATATTATGCATACTTTACCATGATAAAAATGTTTAAAATTTAAAAAGCAAAAAGACCTATTCTGGACATGGATACAACAGAGTGTGCTGATGAGATAGCTTTGGGAAAGGGAGGTTTTAAGAACAGTGCCCAGATTTTTAGTTCAGAACCAAAAGGATAATGTGTGATTTGTCACACAGTTCACCTGGGGTAAATGAGAAGAAAACAAATGAGCCTGTGATGGGTGTGACCAAATTTGATTTCTTCCAAGAATCCAAGGAAATTAAACTTCAGAAAAATTTATGAACATAATTCAATACATCAGCAAACTAAAAAGAAAACCCAAACATTTGATAAATTCTAGCAATTATTTCTAAAAATTATTCTAACATAATATGAGAAAGCTACTTAAACATAATAGACCAATGAAAAAATAATAGCATGCATGATTTTTAAGAGATGAGAAACAATTCCAATTCAGGAACATGAACAAGATTCCAGTTTGTTTGTTTGTTTTTAAACTCAGGGACACTCTACCACTGAGCCACACCCTCAGCCTTAGTGTGTACTTTATTTATTTATTTATTTATTTTTTAAAAACTCTCTCTTTATTTATTTTTTTTCAGCAGACACAACATCTTTGTTTGTATGTGGTGCTGAGGATCAAACCTGGGCCGCACGCATGCCAGGCAGACGTGCTACAGCTTGAGCCACATCCCCAGCCCCTACTTTATTTAGAGATAGGATCTCACTGAGTTGCTTAGCACCTTGCCATTGCTGAGGCTGGCCTCAAACTTGCAATCCTCCTGCCTCTGCCTCTCAATCCGCTGGGACTACAGGAGTGTGCTACTATGCCCAGCAAGATGCCAGCTTTTACCACCAATTATTCAATACCCATTTTAGAATTTCTAGTTAATGCAAAAGTTAAGAAATTTAAACAACTTATGTAAATGCTGAAGAAATACAAAATAGAAAATTATGTGATTATTTACCTATAAAATCCAAATGACTTTATGGTAATAAATGAGAGCAGGAGGGGTGTAGCTCAGTGATAGAGCACTTGCCCAGCACACAGAAGGCCCTGGGTTCCATCCCCAAAACAAAACTCAAAAAAAAAAAAAAAAAAAAAAAAAAAAAACAACCCATAATTAACAAGAGTGGTAGGAAGAGGAGAATTTGAATAGGGTGGAAGGGGACAATTAACTTTTTATCATATACTGAATTATTTCACTTGTCATAAGAAGCATACATAGCTTCAGGAATTAACAACAATAAATTTAAAAAATATATAAAGGATTTGGAAGAGTTCCTAACAGCCCCATATGGTGGTATCAAGGACACCTCCCCTGGCTCCCAGAGCACATGTATATCCAGGAGCTCTGGTTGGGAGCCTCCCGCTGCTGTGTCAGGACACTCTATCCTACTGCTCCTGTCTCAAGGTAATTGCAGGCCCCACCTTCCCAAACCAACTCAGTACACACTGCTCTGAGCTTCTCTCAAAAGAGCCCACCAGAGAACACAATCCTGCACTGCCTACACTGACTATGTTCAATACTTTTTAATATCCCTCTAGAGTGCTCAGCTATAGCTGGGAGTGGGCACACAGTGGAGAGTAAACAGCTGCTGGCATCATGCAGATTGTGAATCTTGACTGAGCACCTACCGGGCCTGAGGCCAGGTATGTGAAGTTCTGGTTACATCTCAGCTCCTGAATAATTTAACCAGGCAGAGAAGCTGAGGGCGAATAAGCCAATTACAATGACACATACATCATATGTATGCATGTATTGAAAAGTAGTAAGTACAGTGATACATAACAGAAAATAGTAACTATGATTAAAGGACTTTAAATTTCAAAGGGCTGGGGGTGTAGCTCAGTGGCAGAGCACTTGCTTAGCATGCACAAGGCCCTAGGTTTCAACCACAGCACCAATAAACAAAAGAAGTGCTGAAAAGGTTGGCCCTTGAAGAGCAGGTGGGATTTGTTTCTGTTCCCAGAAACAAGGGAAAACACTCCAGCCAGGGCAGTTGGAGAAGCAAAAACAGAACCAAATGGAATCAGTAGGAAATTGAGGTGGACCTCCCTGTTGGGCAGGGCAGGGTGAAGTGGGCCGGGGTCAGACTGTAGAGCTAAGTGGTTTCATTCTGTACTCAATGTGAAGAAACTCAAGAGATAGTAAGGAAGAGGAATTTAGTGTCTGGACTCCACATAGCTCATGATTCTCACCTTGTATTCATACCCACATGGAATACCAGTGACCTATGTGACCACTAGGCTATTATAGAGAGCAAGAGGGTGATTTCTGAGACTGGGTCTTGGAATGTGTCATAGAAGACATACTGTAGCTTCTGCCTTTAGATCCCTCTCTCTAGGGAAAACCAGGTGCCATGTCAGGGACTCAGAGGCCCTACAGAGAATGGACCATATAATCAGGAAATGAGGTCAGGCCTCTTGTCAACAGCCATAGGAGTGAACTCCTTTGAAAGCAGATATGTAGGCTGTCAAGCCTTCACATGACAGCATCCAGGGTCAACACCTCAACTGCAACCTCATGAGACCTCAGCTGTGGGAATCCTGAACCCAGAAACCACATGAGGTAGCTACAAGCTGCCAAGTTTGGGATATCTGTTACACAGTGGTGGTTAACTAGTACAGGGAGAAATGTAGACAGCCCTGCATTAGGAAGGTAAATCTAAACAGGAGGCCTCAGGAGAGGCACTAGAAGCAGTCTAGGAAATGTCAGATCACTCTGACAAGAAGGAATAAGGTCTATGCCAAGGGAAATGACTAAGGAGAGAAGAGTGGAGGGAAAAGAAATGTGACAGGCATGGGGAGGACAGTTCTGTTGTGTCAGGCCAGGAAGATTGTGGAAGATTGTGTTGCCATTACAGAAATGGGAACAATGGAGAAGGTTACAACTAAAAGAAAAAGAATGACATTCCCAGCAACCTGTTAAGGTGGGTATTCTCATATTCCCCAGTTGAGGACCTGAGGCTCAGAAAGACTCTAGGATGGATGGGGTCAATGTCACAGAGCCAATACTCAAAGCTGGACTCGTCTTAAGCCCTGCAGTCTGCACTTCTGGACTGGGGAGTTTGGAGGAAGTTAAAAATTTGAATCTGATGGGGCTGAGGTTGAGGCTCAGCGGTAGAGTGCTTGCCCAGCATGTGCGAGGCCCTGGGTTCAATCCTCCGCACCACATAAAAATAAATAAAGTAAAGGTATAAAAAATATATAAGAAAAAATTTGAATCTGAAATTCTAGAACGGAACTAAAGAAAGTAGTTTTATACAGTCATCCAGGGAGATGTTAGGTAAAGCTACAATGAGAGAAGAGATTGCCTAGAGAGGACATAAAAGTGATAGAAAAGGGAGTCTGGAAAAGGCAGCCCCCAGAAACCTCAATGGGGCAAAGCCAGCACCACAAAAAGGATCACACAAAGACAGAGCCTAAAGAGTGGTTTTCAGAGGTGGGACAATTATGTGATGATCATAAAAATGTGTGAGGATTCACATGCTTGCAGTGAAGCACACTTTTGAGAAACACCTGATTCACAGCATTCAATCCTGCCCCGCCCTGTGAAAGTCACCTTTCCACTATGAGTTTGGTCAGAATGGGTTCTTCATACTGAGTGGCATCTTCACTCTGTTGAAGAGCTTTAGACTCTCTTTTGGGTAATGGTTCCTTATGTGGCAATTCCAGTGCCTGTATGCCACTTGGGGGCGGTTCTTGCCTAAGAGCACTGCCATCTTGCTTGGAAAACTCTGGAAACTCTGAGCCAGAAGAGGGAGAATGGGCTGACTTATCTCCTTTTTTGTCTGCTTTTTTCTTTTCTTTCACCATTGCCTTTGGAAGTCCTAGAGTTTATATATAAATATCCAATGGGTCCTTCAGTTGATAGCTGTTTTAAAGCCTGATGAGTTTTATCTGAAAAATAAAAATTATGCCTCTAAATACTTGGAAGTCTCACTTATAAAAACTTAGCCTTATAACAGTATCATTATCATTCTCCTAAAACCTGAGAAAATAATTACAAGTATCACCAGGTTTTTAAAAAAAAAAAACAATACAATCTCAACATTACACTGGTGGTTCCTGAAATTTTTAGCACTGGAACCCCAGCTAACATGCTTATTTTTCTATTAGTACTGCAATAAGAAGGATAATCCTATATGCAAAAATGACTACCTGGCGGCTGGAGTGTGGCTCAGCAGTAGAGCACTTGCCTCCCACGTGTAAGGCACTGGAGTTTGATTCTCAGAACCACATAAAAGTAAATAAACAAAATAAAAATATTGCATCCATGTTTAACATTTTAAAAAATGACTACCTAACCCATAAGATCTTGCATGCTGTCAAATCATACATTAAGAGCCCCTCTCCTAAAGTGAGCATTGTGAAGCGTTCAAGAGTTGGGGTAGGCCCTGCATCTCACTTTATCAGCTCTGTGACTTTAAGTAAGTTGCTTAATTTCCTTCTCTTGGATATCAAAAAGAAATAACAATAACTTGTCT